TTTCCCCCTCCGCATGACTAGCAGCCAAATGCTGGCCGAGGGAGCTCTAATGCTGACAACAGTGAGGATACCAGCTGTGCTTTGCAAGATACGCTTTGGGGATTGGACGTATACGGATTGTTCGTTTTCCAAGCAAGCATCCAGATTTGACTGCTGTCGGTTCCGAAACAGAAACACAAAATGCCAACAGAGCATGAACTTTCTCTCTGTGCTTTTTTAATGCTGCTGAGACCACAAGGACAGTCAGATCCTGCAAAGGTCCCAGTCCATGGTGGGTTGGTGGTGCTAGCACATACTACAAGGGATGGATGTAAACTGAGAGCCAGCTGTTTTGTGCAGCTGAAGAATTACCGTATTTTTCCGTGTATAAGACGACCCCTGTTTTTTGGGACCGCAAAAAAATAATAATGGGGGGGGGATTGCCCAAAGTTGTTCAGCTTTTTTGGGGAGGTGGAGATTGCCCAGAGTTGTTGAGCTTTTTGGGGGGTTGGGTCACTGCCGCCAATCGCTCTACACCCTGCTCACCACTGCAAATCGCACGCATCGCCGCGGCCACCAATCGTCTACAGGCTCGCCACCAAAAGCCCACCTGCCCACTTGAAGCAACCACAGCTGATTGCACGCATGCCTCGCCGCTGCCATAAATCAACATCCAATTGCCACAGCTGCAGCCAATCATCAGTAGGCCTTGCCACAGCAACCAATCACACGCCCGATTGCCGCTGCCGATCTCCTGCTGGCTGCTGCTACCAATCGCCCATCCCCTCTCTGCTATCCATGTACAAGACGACCCACAATATTTGCCTATTATTTCTATGGAAAAAATATAATCTTAAACACAGAAAAATACAGTACCCTTGCACAATGAGGTGGAATCAGAATTGCAACTATGGTTCTGCACTGCATCTCATCCAGGGTTTTTATCACAGAGGTGACTTCGTAGGGTCCCCACTACAAGGCAAAAGTGGGACAGCATTACAGAGATGGGACGGGCATCCTTACAGCACAATCTTAACTATGCTCTTTTTCCCCCAATGGTCCTTATGTCCTAAAAAGTTTGCAAAGGTCTCCACTCTAAAGTGGTTTAAAGCATACCTGCAACATGGTTGAAACTTCTCTTCAATCACTTCCTGAAGTGTTTTCCCTTCTGCCAGATCCCCCCCCCGTGCCCCCCCCACTCCTCAATTACTTGTGCCATTATTTTTACTGGCCTTGCTCCTCTACTTTAAACAGCAGCCTGTCCAATGGTTAGCAATGCAGCTGGAGCTTTTTCCACTACTTATTTCCATGCTAGGAAAAGCTATACCTGCTTATTTTCTGTGTGGCAGGCTGCTGCTAAAAAGTAATTGAGCAGGACTATAAAAATAACAACACAGCAGCGACTGCTCTGGTTAGAAACAAAACAGCATCTGCCAGTAGCCTAAAGATTAACTGCGCAATTGCAGCATGAGAAGCACCTACCTTGTTATGTGCACTTTCAGAAATGAAAGCCCTTTTCTCCACTAAGCTTCCTTTTACACCCGTTGTTTGCATACACTCTGACATCCCCAAAACCTCTGAGCCCTATTGGCACAAAGCACAGAGCCCCCATGGTATGGTTTTCACTAGCCTTGCCCTTCTAGGGCGGCCACTTGTGCATCACCCCCACCCCCAAAAAGAGGACACATGAGCAAACCGTTTTCACTAAGCCAGATATTGTTGGACTCCCAACATCACATCGACACTTAGAATTGTAGAGTTGGAAGGGACCCTCTGAGGATCATCTATCCAACCCCCTGCAATGCAGGAATAGGCAGCTGTTTCACACAGCCATCAAACCTGCAACCTTGGCATTATCATCAGCATGCTCTAACCAACTGAGCTCTCCAGGCAGCCTGAACCTGATCAAGGATGATGGGAGTCCAACATCTGAACAAGTCCCCCAGCCTGGCATAAGCTAATAGAGTATCTGGATAGATTAAAAACAAATAAGAAAAAGGCTATAATTTAAACCTAAATATATATCTCAGCATAGCAGAGAAGACTGCAACCAGGTTACCTTTGCACCTGCTTGGTCTGATGGCCAGGAATTAGCAACTAGAAGACCTTTGCTCTTCCTTATCTTTCAACTTATGACTGGACAGGCCTTCAAACAGATGACTATTTCATTTAGAGGACTGTCCTCTGTAAAGCAGGGCACACCACCACTCTATTTACATCTGGAAGTTTTCCCTCTGGTCTGCCACAAAGTCCTGCCCCTGCGCAAGCCAGCTCCCCCTCAGATTGGCTGTTAAAGCCTCGTGAGCGTTCCCCAGTCTCGGCATGACTAGAAAGGAGGGGGAAACCTCTCCCACCTGCTCCAAAACCAGGAAGGAGCCAACCACCCACTACACCTGCCTTGCTACAATTGCCACCCCCAACAATATGACGAGGACAGGTATTCATTTCACTGAAGTTAACTTCTGCTTTTGCACAGAAACACTGTTTGCTAACCATCCTGACCACTGTCAAATTATCAAACAGGCTAACCAAGGTCAGGCCTACTGGAATTGGCACAATACTGTATGCCACCCGCCACCCCCAAAATTTCCTGGTATAAGGGCCTTTCTCAGGAGCGCAGGTCCTTTTCAGTCTATGGCACTGGTTTGGGATTATGTCAGTGCTGAAGTAAAAGAACCGATATTGTGTTACCGTTAGTGTACTTGAGCCCCTGTATTGCAACATACAAGATTCACGTCTCTGGGGAGACTGACATGTGTATAAGTACTATTTGGACGCATTAGCTACTTCAGTTGTTTACAGAATCTAAAAAACGGTCAAGGCTGAAGTGCATCTAAGAAAGGAGTTTAACTGACACGGAACTAGCCAGCAAAACCAGTTGTGTAAAGTTCAGTAAGCCTGATTTGCCAAGTGATCTGGGATTTGCCAAATACAACAGCTTTCACCAATGGGACCGTGGCAATTGAGACAATGCGTAACATAAAGGAGGGAAATACACAAAAGCAAGTGGAGCTACGCAATTTTTCCATGCTCTCATCCCCCAAGCTCCACAAAGCCTCCCTCACCTAACCAGGTATCGTGCAAAATCCTAGCAGAAACCTTGACTATGTACAGCAGCCTTGATTTCAAGTTAATTAGTCTTCTTGCACTTTTTTTTTTACATGAAAGAAGGGCTATTGATGAACTGAGAACAATGCCATACAGAGCCACAACACATTACTTCATAACCTAGCAAACCAAAACAAAGCCCCAATCTCCGAGCAGTGAGAGATTCAAGGTATGCTTACCCAAAGTTCGGTTTCCTTAGAATGAAGTTCGTTCTGTTGTGTGTTTAGGATACAGTGGTACCTTGGGTTAAGTACTTAATTCGTTCCGGAGGTCCATACTTAACCTGAAACTGTTCTTAACCTGAAGCACCACTTTAGCTAATGGGGCCTCCTGCTGCCGCCGGAGCCCGATTTCTGTTCTAGGTTAGCGGAGTGTGTAACCTGAAGTGTATGTAACCCGAGGTACCACTGTATATTGTTTTATTTACACATATATACAACCCGAGAACAAGATGGAGGGGCTCTAAGCATTAACACCCCAGGAGATCTTGCTTCCCCACTAAGCTTCCAGGGGAGCCCCAAAGCCCAGTACAGATCAAGAATGTCTATATCTCCAGTTTCAGGCCTGCTTCCAGCCTACATCAACAGCAGTGGCTTTTGCTCTCCTACCTAACTGCTGAGTGAGCAGAGGTTGGGGGGAAGGCCCACCCATTTGTTCTATGGCACAGAACAACTTCTTTGTTTATGCTACTTACTTAACTAACTAGAATCATAGAATCATAGAGTTGGAATAGACCACAAGGGCCATCGAGTCCAACCCCCTGCCAAGCAGGAAACACCATCAGAGCACTCCTGACATATGGTTGTCAAGCCTCTGCTTAAAGACCTCCAAAGGAGGAGACTCCACCACACTCCTTGGCAGCAAATTCCACTGTCAAACAGCTCTTACTGTCAGGAAGTTCTTCCTAATGTTTAGGTGGAATCTTCTTTCTTGTAGTTTGGATCCATTGCTCCCTGTCCGCTTCTCTGGAGCAGCAGAAAACAACCTTTCTCCCTTCTCTATATGACATCCTTTTATATATTTGAACATGGCTATCATATCACCCCTTAACCTCCTCTTCTCCAGGCTAAACATGCCCAGCTCCCTTAGCCGTTCCTCATAAGGCATCGTTTCCAGGCCTTTGACCATTTTGGTTGCCCTCCTCTGGACACGTTCCAGTTTGTCAGTGTCCTTCTTGAACTGTGGTGCCCAGAACTGGACACAGTACTCCAGGTGAGGTCTGACCAGAGCAGAATACAGTGGCACTATTACTTCCCCTGATCTAGATGCTATACTCCTATTGATGCAGCCCAGAATTGCATTGGTTTTTTTAGTTGCCGCGTCACACTGTTGGCTCATGTCAAGTTTGTGATCAACCAAGACTCCTAGATCCTTTTCACATGTACTGCTCTCAAGCCAGGTGTCCCCCATCTTGTATTTGTGCCTCTCATTTTTTTTTTGCCCAAGTGCAATACTTTACATTTCTCCCTGTTAAAGTTCATCTTGTTTGTTTTGGCCCAGTTCTCTAATCTGTCAAGGTCGTTTTGAAGTGTGATCCTGTCCTCTGGGGTGTTAGCCACCCCTCCCTGTTTGGTGTCATCTGCAAAGGCATTACCTTAATAAAGGAACTGGCTTGGCATGCTTGTTCTTATACATTCTACTCTCACAGATACATGATTCCAATTACTAGAAGGGACTCAGGGTATCATCCAGACTGACCCCACCTCTCAAACTCAGAACAGCGTTATGGTTTAAAATTTTATCATGTAACTCTAGCAAAACAAAACAAAATCAAAGAGGCAGGTCAAATATGTATGACAAAACAGAACAGTTTTTTTTTTCAATAGCATATCCAATAGTGTATATCAGCAAAGCACAGAAATGCATTCCTCATTCATCAATATTCTATATTTTTCAGGCATTTTCCCACTCACCTTTTCACATCCTGGAAAATGTTAAAGGAAGACGGTTGCTAAAATGAGAGCTTGATGGGATAATTGTTCACCTGTGCTTTTCTGCTGCTTTTCTTCTTGCTTCAGAAAGATGCCCACTGTGCAGGAGTCATTGAAATACGAAATTTGTTTATTGTCTGTGTTGTGATAAAGCACATGCAATGGTGCAGGGGAAAGGAACAAGTTCATAGCTGTAGGAGGGGCCTTCTGCCTTCCAGAGGCAACAGAGAAAGAAGTAGCCCCTGGGTGTTGTCTGTGTATTTGATAGGATGGCCGGCTGCTGTTAGAAGCTCTAGGCCTCAGTTTTGGTTTCTATTAAAGCAAAAATTAAGTTCCTTTGTTAAGTAGCAGTGCCTGTTCTTACTGAAAGCCTGCCAACCCCTCTGGCTCAACTACAGCATATATGTTACTGCAGGGTGGTTCTCTTTGTTAGAGTCACTGAGGCAGCTGTAATAATTAAGGAAAAGGAATACAGGTGACTTCTGGTTCTGAGAACCAATCAGAGGCTTGGAAGAAAAGGAAGGCCCAACAAGGCCACAATCACACCATCCATTTAAAATGCTATAATACCACTTTAAACTGCCATGGCTTCCCCCAAAGAATTCTGGGAACTGTAGTTTGTTAGGGTGCTGAGAGTTGTTAGAAGGCCCTTATTCCTCTCACATAGTACAATTCACAGAGTTCCCTGGGAAGCAGCATTGTTTGTTAAACCACTTGGGGAACTGTAGCTTTTTAAAAACAAAAAACAAAAAAACCGTGATTAAGAATGTCAATACGTTGTTGTGTGAGCTGCTGGGAGGAAAGTAAACATATAATACATACAAATAACATGGATATGCTTTACAATGCAATCCCATGCATGATTACTTGAAAGCAACCCCACCCGCCTTGTGGCCAGCAGAATATACTTTCATGTAAACGCGGCAAGGAGTTCAGCCTAACTCTCCTGCTGAAATCATGGAGCTGAAAATAGCTAACTTTTGGTTGTTCTGCAGGCTTGGGTCAGTGGATTTTTCTATAATCTTACTGTCAATGTGACCAGGCCTCTGTTATTACATTGCTCCTTACATGAGGAAGATACTTTGGTGGGTGATTTATTTATTTTTATTAAAGTCCTCAAACGTTTATAAACAGGAAAGGAAAAGCATGGTAATTCTTAAAGTGTCTGGAGCCTTCCCTTAAGCCAACTTCTAATGAAGGAATTTTAAAATAAAGATAATGCTTATGTTTTGTTTTGTAAGCCTTTTCTTACGTCCTGCTCAGTCGTAGGCTGAGCTTCTTCAACAGGAACGTCTGATTGTACTGCATGACATCTGAAAACCAGTTTGGCACCAAAACTCTTGCTTCAACATTCCTCACAGTCTTATACTGCTGGTCAATCTAGCTCAGTGTTGTCCACACTGACTGGCAACAGCTCTCCAACATTTCAGCCGTTTCTGCAGATGCTGAGCCTTGAACCTGGGACATGGCTGAGCTACCTGAGCTACCTACGGCCCTTCCTCTGAAGTCATCATTGCTGTTTCTGAAAGGAGTGGTCCAGGTGTGCTTGGGCCTCTCTCTTTGGATCCCAGCCACATCCTCTATCCCTTATAGGTGTTGCAATTGAACTGTCCATCCCCTTTGCCTTTGAAATAAATGTTCAATTAAAGTATCTGACAAAAAGGAGGAAAAGGATTCGAGTGTTGACCTTTTAAGTATTTATGCTTAATTATAATAAGCCTAGACCTGGAACAAGATCGACTCTTGCATAATGTTTCGTTTTGTTTGGTCTCGTTTCCACAACATATGGGATGGGTTCCGTGCTGGGTTTCTTTAAATTATATATTATTTTAAAAATAGACTCAATGGGTGCATTGTCCAAGGACTCCAGTATGTGAGTCATCCCTCTCCATTTCTAGATATTTCCTTTCCACTTGCTAATAGAGGCAGGTAAGGATTCCAGAGGACTCTCTCTGTGTGGTTTTTGCTCCCTGCTGCTGGATGGGGAGACATGGGGTGGACGAGACACCAGAGAGTGGTCTTTTTAAGTACAGACACATAGAAGTTATACAAGGACTGGTTTTCAGTGTAAGGGTCTGAAGATGAGTGTGTACACAGGGGCTTTGAGATCCTTGCTGAGCCCATTCAAATCTAGAACTGGGGGAGAAATGTGATTCAGTTTTCATTTAAAGGCAAATCTACCTATTACACACTTTCTGAAACAATATACAAACTGGAACACAAACACCCATCAAAATTTGCACTTCTCCAAACAATGTAATGTATTGAATAAAATGCACATACTAGATAAAGCATGCCTTAAAATGCATATATTTATGAAAGTAACAGACGAAAAAGCATTATATTTGAGGAAACTGTAGATTATGCAAAATTGCAGACAAAAATGTATATATTGGGAGAAAATTCACGAGGGCTTTGATGAGGACTAAAAAAAAAAAAAGGATTTGAGAAACTGAAATTGACCGATTCACCCATCCTTATAAATCTCAGTGTCAAAGCTAAGTGAAAGATGTGATGTACTTGTCTATGCATATAGCATCACAGGATTACTTGAGAAGGCTAGCTCAGTTGGTAGAGCACAAGACTCTTAATCTCAGGGTTGTGGGTTCAAGCCCCATGTTGGGCAAAAGATTCCTGTAATGCAGGTTGGGCTAGATAACCCTCCTGGCCCCTTCCAACTCTACAATTCTATGAGAAGTCAGCCTATGGGAATAATTTGCTGCATCTGAAGAGGCCCACCCACATCCATCCCCACTCCACCCCACACAATCTAGATATACGAAAAGGGAGGACCATTTTCAACATTTTGTACTTATCTGGATTCAAATTTCCATCACACTCCGTGAGAAAATCGATACTCCAAGATCATAACCAACCAGGGATCAATGTCACATAGTGTCCATTTGTTTCAATGGGACTCACCCAGGTCATCCTAGGACTGCAATCCTAGGGATGCTCTTGAATAAATGCACATAAGGCGGGTCGTAAGGCTCCAATTCTCAAACCATTTTCCTTGTAATCGTCCCAAAGCCCGGTTGCTGCAGCAAATTATTCAAGAGCTGAATTCCAAATGGTTTCTTGTATGTAAAGTGAATGGCTAATAGCAGTGATCAAAAGCAAACTGTCAGTAAGTCTGAGCAATGAACAGTTTTGAATGATGAGGGATGTCCTTTCCTGCTCCTAAGTAAGGACTTAAGAAACGTTGATGGAATGCACAATTCATAAATATTCTGACTGTAACCATGAGTTCCTTGTAACAGACAGCCTCTGTCCCTGTTACTATTTCCCCCTTCAACACAAGATGTAGGATGGGATGGAACATCCTGTTCCATTTTAAATTCAGTTCCCCACATTTCCTCAGCAGTTTACAATTAAAATACAATAAATCCCCATTAAAATATGCATGGAACAACAAAGTAAATAAACAGGGAAGATCAGCTCATCTGTAGCTGTGGGGCTGTTAGGAAGACAGGAAAGCTCTTGGATTTGTGGGAGGAAGCAAAGGATGTAAATTCAATCAATATTGTCCGGGCCCTCACTGCCAGATGAAGAACTCAAACTCCCAAAGGTTTCTGCCAAAGACTTTAATGCTTAAATCAGAGCTGTGCATAAGCAAGGCACAATTACAAGGAAGGTGCAGCAAGAGTGCAGGAGAATACATGTCCGGGAGTCAGCTAAGGTGTTTCTTATGGTTCCAAGGGGTTGCTCGAGAGCAAGCAGGCAAATGCCTCCCTGCTCGGCTGTGAAGCCTTGCTTTTGATGCCAAAATAAACTTTATCTGTCCAGAGCGCCACTCTCCCGTGGCTGGCTCATTCACTGGCAGAATCCGTGAGTGGGCGGTCCTTAAACCTTCCCCAGCAAAGTAGTTTCTTGACGCCCAGTCTGCGCCTCCCCTCTTGGCGCGAAAGCTTACTGCGCAAGGAGGGCGTGGGTAACGGAGGACCTCTCTCCTCCCCGCTTTGCCCAGGCAAGGTGTCCTGGCACTGCCTCCCCTCCTCCGAGCCCTGAAGCTCCTCTCCACTGGAGGCATGGTTACTCTCCTCCGCTGAGGAGGAGCTGCTTCCCACGATCTTTGGGGGCTCTCTGTAATCCATCCAGCTTTTCCCCTCTCCCCCCTGAGCCGATGGCAGTTCCCTGACAGTGTTGATCCATCAAGTAACATGCCTCCTGCACCTTCCTTCTACCAGCCAGAATCCCAAGACCGGGCAAGCGAATGGAAACTACAGCTGGGCTGAGCTTGCAAGGTCCGTTTGTGTCAATTCTGGCGTCTCTGTGCCCTAGGAGGTGGAGATGGAGTCAATGCCTGTTTGGCGTCAGATTCGATCTCAGCGGCCTCCCTCATCACTGACAAGGGAGTGTGCTGGAGGTGGTTCTATGACAGGAGGGATCTGACTAGCTGTGTCCCATGTCACTAGAGCAGAATGCTCCTCTGCCAACCCGCTTGGTCCCTCCCCAAGAACCAGCCCACCATCCTCCATGCTCCTTCCCTGACCCTTCTTGGTCATGTCCCACTGATGCTTTCCCAATCTCTGCTAGGATGCTCCCCAGCTCCAGCTAACTGTGCTCTTCCCAGTCCTCTTCGGGATCAAACTACCAGCTCCACGACATAAACAAAAAAAAAAGAAATAAAATCCACTTTAATAATCACAGCAATCAGATGGTGGTAAACTTTAGATACAGACCTTCATGCAAGGAAGTTTCCCTGCCGCCAAATCGGCCTGTACCAATTTCCTCTTCAAAACTTGAAGAGAGTCAATTACATCTGATTGTTGTTATGTATTGATGTCATCTCCACAATGACCTTGTTTTTATGATGCTGTAGGTACTTGATAAAAAGCTTCTTATCTTAATGAGCCGTATAGCGCGAGGAAAGGACGGCAAGGTCGAGAGCGTATGTGCTAATAAGACAAGCATTAGAAGTATTTGTGTACTCAGCATCAAAACAAATTGCAACACCTTCCACCTTCCCTGAGAACATTGTTTACGGCTGGCCAAGAGACAGCGTTCTCAACAAGGCCAACATAAAATTGATTGCATCCGTGGAACAGCCAGGAATAAATAAATGAATTGTTTTATTATAAGTAGCGTTTTCCCTAATAACACAAAGCAGACGAGGCAACAAACAAAATGGGGTGTTTGTGTGTTAAAATCTGTAAGTCTGCCCATTATTAATGCATTACATATTTGCATTACATTACATATCTTTGTTACCTACATAGGCATATATTTCTTTCCCCTCTATCTCTAGTAACACCTATTGAACTCAGTGGGGCTTATTTCTCAGTAAGCATGTATAGAATCATTCAGCACTTTACATAAAAGAGCTGCAAGTAAGCAAGCAAATAAATAACATTTTAAATGCCTGAAAGCCTGTTTTTCTATTTATTGCTTTAAACATCATAGCATCAAGAGTTGGAAGGGACCCCAAAGGTCATCGAAACCCACCCTCTGCAATGCAGGAATCACAGCTGCATTTTGAGGCACAACTTATTCTGCAGCTGGTTAATATTTTGTTATTTTAAATTAAAGCTTTTTTGTAGCCTAGGACTATTTCTGCGATACATAAATAAGAAGTTAAAAATAAACTGAAATGTTATAATGAGGGGTGACCGCTCTTAAACAAGTGGCAAGGAATATCTTTATTTTTTTCCACTTTCAGTCTCTAAATACCCAATATATTAGTAGCTCAGGGCATCAGAAAGCTAAGCGATGCCACTATGTATGTAGCTTCTACCTCTTTCATTGAGGTTATGCACGCACATCTCTACTTTAGTTGCTACTGTGGGCTGCCACAGGACTGACCTCTGCTGGAAAGAGTTTTGATTGCACCGTAAGTTTTCATGCACCGCACAGAACTCCTCAAAATAAACCAAAAATATACATACCTATATTTGAGATTGAGCTTCAAAAGCATCCTCCCTCGTTCCATCATGCAGGTTCACAGCCAACGTATTCTGGGGCAAGAAAACTGACATCACACAGGAGGTTAATCACGTAAAGAGAGTCTCTGGCCAGCAACTGTTCCCTGAATCAATGAACTGGAAGTGCCATGTGACGGCTCCTGCTTACATAATTTTCTTGACACATCAGCATTATAAGTAACCCAACGATGGACCTTTGCAATAGATCATGATGACGTTTAGCGCTAGGTTCGCCAAAGATGCCAGGACAGCATTTAGCACACCTGGAAACAAAATGATTATAAAGACGGAGATGGCGGGGGAACAGAACAGAACATCAGACGCAAAGAGACTTGCAATATTACCTCCTACCATATTGGGTGCTTCTAGAGCTTCAGCCAGTCCCAACATCCTTGTGCTGGTTTGAGCAGGGCCTGACAAGCCTAGTGGCCAGCAGAAAACTAGTTTCTCTCATACAGAAGTTAATACCCATAGCAAAACAAATTCCAGAGGCTCAGTTGTGCCCTGTTTGCTGTCAGACACAGTCTTTTGACAACAAGCTTCTGCAACAAGAAATCTATTAGCCTTATAGGTGCCACAATAATTTCTCTCTCTCTCTCTCTCTCTCTCTCCCTCTCTCCTTTTCTCTTTCTCCCTACCCCTTTTGCCTTGCAGAAGGCCTTTCTGCTAGTCTTAAGCCACTGTTGGATAGACTAGATCAGTGTTTCCCAAACTTGGGTCTCTGGCTATTTTTTTGAACTACAACTCCCATCATGCCTCACTAGCAAGATCAGTGGTCGGGGATGATGGGAACTGTAGTCCAAAAACAGCTGGAGACCCAAGTTTGGGACACTGGACTAGATGGTAGATAGGGAACCTGTGGCCCTCCAGACACTGTTGCACTCCCAACTTCTATCATCCCAGACCACTGGCTGTGTTGGCTGGAGCTGACGGATTTTGAGAGTCCAGCAACATTTAGAGGACCATAGGTTCCTCACTTCCTGCAACAGACACTTTAAAGGGAAGAATCATTCTCAGGGAAAAGTGAGTGACCTACCACGGAATGGGAGAGAGGAGGCAAACCATCCAATAATGAGCGAAAATAGATCTTTGCCGTGGGTCAGTTTTCTAGGAGGTAGAAATATTCAGTGGAATAGCACATGCCCTCTTGTAGTGCCTCTTGTCAGTAAATCAAGTGGGGTTTGCACTGAGTAGGGGGTAATGCTTTGGGATCACGCCTCAAGCTACAGGTGGGACACACTGAAAAGAGGCTGAAAAAATTGCTTTGAGTCCCTTATCCAGTGAGCAAGGGGTTTCTAAAAAAAAAGCTTATTCACAAAATTGCTCTATTGTAAATGACGTTGGTTCCTCTGCCTCCATTGCAACTCAATGCTAAGTTTACCTGGAAGTAAATCAACAGAGTTAATTTCTAGAATATGTGCTTAGAAGCATGGCTCAGCTCGAACGGCACCCGCTGCAAGTTTTGTCTAAGCAAGCCAACAAAGTTCAACAGGAAATTCTCCCTCACATGAAGTGTGAGATAAAAATGGGCCTGAAGCAAAAACCCTTTAAACCACGGAAGATTTATTCCTTGAAATGTTTCAGAAGTGCAGCATCTTGGGGTACATTCAAAAGTGTTACATTTACAGTATGAACACACAGAGACTTCAGAGTGCCTAGTACAGAGCTGAAGGATCTACATTCAAGTTAGTGCTCAACCATGAAACCCATTAGGTGACCTTGGACCTATTGATTGCGTTCTCTCTCTCTCTCTCTCTCTCTCTCTCTCTGCCTAACCTACCTCGCAGGACTGTTGCAATGATAAAGGGTTTGGGGGGGGGGAAAGACGACACATGTTTGTGGGCCTGAGCACCTTGGCAGAATGGAAGCAGGATAAAAACTGCATGTCTTTATGTTAGGAACACCAGCTTAGAGGAGCTGGAACCCATTCATTGGTCATGATATGCTCCTGTTGGGTTTTCTGCACCAAAAGGTACAAACTGGAAGCGGTGTCTCTGTAGCAATAGAATTGTTTCAAGTGTGTGGCCATCTTCTCCCCAAGGACAGCACCCACACGAGCCCTACATGCGTGAGAAAGAATGCAGGGGTTCGTGAGAGAAAAACTGTAGAAAGCGATGGAGGCAAACTTTCCAGACTGTGGCAAAAAAAACACCAGTAGCTGTGCAAGCAAGAGGCAGGGGGCACCACAACGCTCCCCCCCCCCACAACTAAGACCAAAATATTTCTCCATGATTTGTCTAGCTCTACAATCGAGATCACATGTAGAGCACCTGAAGGCATGATCCTGCACCTCGAGGTCCCTTTCTGAAATGGCTGTTCTTCATCATGCCTGTGACCAAGAACGCAAGCCTGTTGTTGAAATCAGTAGTACAAAGTTTAATTAACTATCTGATCTACAGCTAGTACAATTATCCAGTGTTTCAGGTTCATTCAAGTAATTACAGTACTTTACACCCTTCAGAAATTCGACATTGCCTATATACACAGTAGTTTAAGCTCCTTTTAAGGCTTTCCAAAGTAAGCATGAAGGTTTCCAGAGAGATTGCTGCCACTGCACTCCAGGCAAACCACTCAATGCTTCTTCTTAAGTTTCCAGCTCACGGTTTGCCTAGAGGAGACAAACCATGAACCTGGGTTCAGATGACACACTAAACCATGGCATGCTCAGAGCAGAGCAGCAGCAGCAGCAGCAGCAGAGACAGTGATCAGTTTTCTCTCCAGGAACCCTCAGGCACATGAGCTCATGCTAAGGCATGGTTTGGCTTAGTGTCATGTCAACCAGTTCACTCCAAGTAGTAACAGATATATAAATGAGCATTTATCCCATGAACACAACCCCTTCACTCTTCCCCCTTTGTGTCTTTAAAGCAGGGAGTCTTTAATTAACCATGATTGAAAGTAGCCAAGATATTGAGCGAACTTCAAACCCTGGTTTAAGATCCCGGCCTCTTCCAAAGTTCCACAGCTCCCCAGTTCAGATAAAATAGAAAACTATAGTTAATTAGGCTTCCTTGTTTGGTTATAGCTCATTTAAAGGGAGGAGCAAAAGGGACAGCATGCACAGCCAAAAAGCTTGTTCCGATCTTATGTTGTTGAGATGCGATCATCAAACCAGCTCATTGTTTAAAAAAAGAAAGAAACACAAAGGCTTGGATCCAGCCTTTAGTCATTACCATAGGCCTATTGAAATCATGACTAATTTGTCCGCTTGTTTTCCATGGGTCGACTTTAAGCATAGCTAAGTCTGGCTCCAACTGAGTAGATTTACAAAAGAAAAATACTGATAATGGCTCAGCACAACAGTTTGCTGCCCAGAATTCTTCTCCCTCGTTCAGTGTGATTTCAGTAGTCAACGAAATTCCAGCTGTACCAGATTCACAAACCTGGTCATTAATGAGATGCAGTTCATTCAGAGTCTTACATCCGTAAGCTTCTTGTTCTTTGAAAAGGCTGGAAAGGCTTTTTAAAGGCCCACCCCAACAGCATTGGTCTCTGTTTGCTTTTTTCTGGAAACAGAACTGCTTCACTTTCAGGAGTAGGAAATCGCTCCTTGTACACCTCAGGATAGGATTTCTGAAACTAGAAAGGAAGCATGCAAAGATTAGCTAATGAATTTATTCGGGCCATTTGAAAGTGGCTTGCTTATTCAAGCAGAACATGTCCAGTCTCTGACTACAAGGGGGGGTGGGGAATGCGTTCATCTCTTGCCAAACATTATGGCAGAGGAACTTACTGCATAACAGTGCTGTGCTGGGAGACTTTTGTTCCACTCTTTGCTCACTAACATCTGGGGTCCCATCTTGTCCCCTCGTGCCTTTCAACATCTACAGAAAGCTGCTGGGAGAACTCATTTAGAGGTTTGGGCTGAGGCTTCATCAATACAGTGGTACCTCGGGTTAAGTACTTAATTCGTTCTGGAGGTCCGTACTTAACCTGAAACTGTTCTTAACCTGAAGCACCACTTTAGCTAATGGGGCCTCCTGCTGCCACCACGTTGCTGGAGCATGATTTCTGTTGTCATCCTGAAGCAAAGTTCTTAACCTGAAGCACTATTTCTGGGTTAGTGGAGACTGTAACCTGAAGCGTATGTAACCCGAGGTACCACTGTATACAAATGGCATGCAGTTAAACTTTCATTTAATTCTAGGAAGGCAGGTGATACCTTGAGCCACCTGGGGGCAGTACTGAGATGGAAGAGGACTCGAAAAGCTGGATCTGTATCCAGATAAGAGGAAAGTACTGCAGCTGGGGAAATCTGCTAATCTGCATGGAGATTTGAATCTGATTCTGATGGGGTGAACAGTCTGTGAATAGGTACAAGGGAGCTGCAGGTGGCATTGCTTGCCAAGAGTGCTTTTGACCGGCAAGGGCTAGGTCAGTAGTGCAGCCCAGTTTCGGAAAAACAGTCCTAGCCACTGTGATCCACCCCCAGTTAAATCCATCTTAGATTACAGTAATACTGTGCCTGAAGCTGCTCTTGCAGAGGATTTGGAAACTGAAACTGCAGAGCAATGTGGTAGTGGGAACCTTTGCAAAAGTTGGGCACACTTATCTTATCTCACCTCTTGCGTACTGGTTAACTTGGTCACCCATTTTCCCCCATTTTAAAGTGCTGACTTTAAAATGATAACATCTGGGGGATGTTATCTGAAGGACCAGTACACCTGTATGAGCTGGCCCAAGTATCTGAAAGCCTCCTCTCTGGGCCTGCAGCAAGAGCTTATAGGGATTTCTCAATGGCAACACCCTTTGAACTCCTTCCCCAGGGAGGTGTGTGTGGCCTCACCATTGCTGGTCTCTTTTTTTGGTCTTTTTTAAAAAAACCAACATGTTTATACAAGTCTGCATTTGGCTAAATAGTTTGTACTCAGAAATACATTTAGCTGTTAATTTTTCAGTGTGTGTGTGTCTGTGTCTGTTGTAACTGTATTTTCTTTAAAAAAAAAATCAGTATGAAACTTTTCAACGCACAATACAATAAAAGCCAAACTAATCTACCGTATTTTTCACCCTATAGGACGCACTTTTTCTCCTCCAAAAATGAAGGGGAAATCTGGGTGCATCCTATGGGGCAAATGCAGGCTTTCGCTGAAGCTTGGAGAGCGAGAGGGGTCGGTGCGCACCACGCTGCGGAAAGCAGCCTGCCGCCCGGCGGGCAGGGCACCCTGAAGCAGAGCGCCCCGCGTGCTGGACAGACATCCGCAGCGTGGGGAGCCCTGCAGGAGTTCCCCGCAGGGCTCCCCACGATGCGGATAGCAGCCTGCCGCCCGGCGCGCAGGGCAACCTGAAGCAGGGCGCCCCTCGTGCCAGGCAGACATCGGCCAGCCCCACAAGCTCGGGGGACAGCAGGGAGGCGCAGCGCCGCCATCCCGCTGTCCCCCGACCTGGTTCGGTTTCCCTGACCTGCTTTTCGGGGGGAAATAAAGGGGGGGGAATTTCCTTTATTTCCCCCCAAAAAACTAGGTGCGTCCTATGGGACGAAAAATACGGTAAATAAAAATAGAAGAGAAAACAAAACACACTAAAATATAAAAGAAAGAAAGAAAGAAAGAAAGAAAGAAAGAAAGAAAGAAAGAAAGAAAAGAGAAAAAGCAGAAGAAAAGAAAAATACTATCAGAGGGGATCTTAACCCTTGTCCCACACAAAAGGTAGTGGACCCTTTCCAGCTCTCACCTGTATTTTCAAGTCCTGTAAGCTACCTTCTGAGGGCTGTGAGCCCTAAAAGGGGAATCAAACCATTTTTAAACTGCCTCATTCTGGAGGAGTTCCACACTTTCACTACCCTCAAGTTTGTAACTGATGGCGTCTAAGCCATGAAAGTACAGTGTGGTATTTAACACCACACAAACTGCATTTAAACCATAAATTGGTATAACATTTCTGCTAGGCAAGCCTATATTTAGGGACCTTACGATAATGACATCCCATACTGTCATGTGAACCAGGAGGCCTATTATGTCTAGAAAGGGTATTATGGTTAACAAATGGAACCCAGTTGGTTTTGCCACATCCTGAAGGCTATCAGGCTTGTGAGGACATAGAAGCAGGTTTTTTTTCGGTTGGTGGCACCAGTGTTGTGAAATGTTCTCCCTGCTAAAATAGAGCACACCACTTTTGGTATTGAAATTCCACCAACTCTTGAAGACATACCTATCCTCCTCCTAATCTCCTGAAATGAACCTCCTGCTTTTACTGTTGTTGCAACTGTAACACTGTTTTAATAGCCCTGTTTATGATATATTTTAATTATGGATACAAAACTACATGCATTAATTAGAACCACCATGGTGTAGTACTTAGGCGTGTCAGACTGGGAGAACAGTCACAGAACTGTATAGCTGATCGTCTTAGTCCAAGCCCTGCAATGCATAAGCATCCAAAAGGGAGGGGGCAAACCCAGACCGGAAGAACTAGCACTTGTAGAGCTGAGATATGAGACAACGTGTACATATTCTTCTCACCTGTGTGTGAGGGAGAAATTAGCCTGCCTTCTCCTGCCAGAAAAATTCCTGTCCGTGCCTGAAAGACCAGAGCTCCAGTTCCAATTCAGCCATAAAGTTCACTGGGTGACCTTGGGCCAGTCACAGTCTATTCTAACTCGGAGGGTTGTTGTGAAAAGCACGTATGCTACCCTGAGCTCCTTGGAGGAAAAAGGTGGGATATAAATGGAATAAAGAAGTGATTTTAGAAACAATCCGTACAGGGCCCACACACATACAGAGCTGTGTTTGTTGTGGGGGTGAGGTGCTTGAAAAATGACTGGGAAACCTGCCAGGACCAGGATCCTGATCTCATGTAAAGAGAGCAGGGGTGGGGATCCCTGGTCCCTAAACCACCCCTGCTTTGCAAATGTTTCCCTTTACAAACATCAAGGTTTTTTTTCTGTAGCACTGGTGGGAATATTTACATATGCAATACGTATGCTCTTGTCACACAAATATTTGCAGATGTTCTCATGCCATGAAAATCTTCCAGTGAGTTTACAGGATCAGAACCAACACAAGCAGATTCAAAGGTGACAGATAGAAGGGACAGAGGAAGAAACGAAGACCGGAAGACGCCTATTTACCATTCCCCATGATAGATAAGAGTAAATATCACATCAAAATCCTTTTTTGGGGCTGGGGAACAATGCGAAGAGGAAAGCTTTAAAAGAGAAATTTTGACCATTTATTTTACCTGCTTCAACTTTTTCTTCTTCTCCTTGATGGACATCTCCCGATTCATCACAATTTCTTCCAACAAACCTACCAAGGGTTCTTGGGAGCCATTTGTTCTTTGGTGTTCAAACTCATCTGCGCTGATCTGATGACAAAACGACGGTGCAGGCAAGGTCGAATCTGCATCAGCTCCTGGATATTTTATCTGTGTTAGAACAGGTGGGAGGTATGCTGAGAAAAGGAGCTTAAATTTTGGTATCCCAGGATAAAATCTTTTGTGCACGCCTCCCTCAATGGTTATGATTTGAGATCAGGAGATATACACAGCCAACACTGCAGGACCTTTAGGTGCTATCGCTTGCTTGTCAAATTCCCTCTTGCAAGAGAGATGCAGGAGCAGCGAAATATTTTTATTTTGCCAGGCCTCTCTCCACAGGGACCTACGCTCGTTTTAGAAATCGCCTTGTCTTTTGTGCTGCGTTTTATTAACTGCGCCTTTCATCTTAGCTTTTCAGAACGGATGTTGTAAGCCGCTTTGGGGACACGGTTGAAAAGTGGCACACAAATGCAGGAGTAATAGTAAAAAAATAAATTGTGTGAGAAAGACATTTGCATCTTGGCTTGTGGGTAGATGCCACTGGATGAGTTATTTTCATCTTGTGTTGCAGGTGATGCCAAAGTGACTTAGGACCAAAGGATTAAAGGATTAGAAAGGAGCTTCCAAGGCCCAGGGCCGGGATGGGAGAACATTTTTGGCTCTACGGATCAGCCCTGTGGGCCAAAGTTGGCAGGTAAGCACTGCCACCCACCTGTCAAAATTCCTTGCATGGGAATTTCCAGTTGAGGGCTGGCAAAGCAGTTGTTTCCTCCACCTTCCCACCACTTGACGGGTACAAGATAAATAAGGCAAGGCCCAGCGCTAAGCAAGTTCAGCTGAGGTGAAAGGAGAGTAAGTAAAGGTAGAAAGGTAAAGGACCCCTGGACAGTTAAGTCCAGTCGAAGGCAACTATGGGGTTGTGGCGCTCATCTCGCTTTCAGGCCGAGGGAACCGGCGTTTGTCCACAGACAACTTTCCGGGTCATGTGGCCAGCATGACTAAACTGCTTCTGGCGCAACAGAACGCTGTGACGGAAGCCAGAGCACACAGAAACGCTGTTTACCTTCCAGCCACAGTGATTAATCCACTTGCACTGGCGTGCTTTCAAACTGCTAGGTTGGCAGGAGTTGGGACAGAGCAACGGGAGCTCACTCCGTCGTGTGGATTCTAACCACTGACCTTCCAATCGGCAAACCCAAGAGGCTCAGTGGTTTAGACCACAGCGCCACCCACTGTGATCCTGCTTAGCACTGGGTTCCGGCTTTGTGTGGTGCTTCCGAGGCTCCAAACAACCAACTGGCTGCCGGGTGCTTTGGGAGCTGCACAGATCAGACCTTGGACAAGCCCAGCTTTCATCTGTGTGATGTCAGGTGTAGGGCTGAGTGGCTATGATTGACACCTTGCAGCCCCAAACGGGGAAGGCTGGTGGGCCGCCAAGTGTCAGGAGCCTGAGTCAAGTCAGCAATAAAAAACAAGGTTAACTATTTATTAAAGTATTTTAAAATATTTTTTTAAAAACTAAGTTATCTATTTATTCAAAGAATCCAAAAACAGCTCAGGCCTAGTGATTCCAGGGACTTCCCAATAGGTCTTGCCCCAATGAGGCAGTTGTGAAGACTGAAGGTCCCCACTATCCCACCCCTTTCTAAGGCTCCTCCTCTCTGGGGTCTTTTCCAAGCAATCTCAAACTGTGTTGGCGCACAACCAATCTCTGTTCTGCTCTTTTCATTTCTATGTCTTTTTAGGGGTCGCAGGAGGAGGAGACTCCTTGGATTCTTCAGCAGCTTGACTCCACTCCTTCCGAGCCTCCGCTTCAGCCTGGGAGTCTAAACTGCTCTCTGCCACAGCCTCTCCCTGCTCACTAAACCCTGTTACCTCTTCTGCTTCTGACACCTCCTCCTCCCAGTCTGCTCCCTCATTGTCATCTCACCACCAAAGCTGGTGCCTTCTTCCACTCCTCTGCAGCCAGTCAGCCTCTGACACCAAGACTGGCCTGCAGGCTGGAGGTTCCCTATCCAGTGCAACTTCGTGGTCAATTCAGGATCCACAACACAGCATGCAGCTACTGCATCCCTGGCAGGTGGCCATCCGACCTCTGCTTAAACACCTCCAGCAAAGGAGAGTGCACCACCACCTCCCAAGCCAGTCTGTTCCATTGTTAAAGCAGTTTCTGCTATTAGTGTTGGCGCTGGCACCTGCTTCCCTGCCAACTTCTATGCACTGGTTCTTGTCTGGAGCAACAGAGAACATGCCTCCGCCATCTTCTGCGAGGCAGCCCTTCTGATATTTTAAGATTGCTATTGTGTCTCCCCTTTGCCTCCTCTTCTCTAAGCTAAACATGCCCAATTCTTTCAACTGATCCTCACAAAACTTGGTTCTATCCTGGTTCCCCTCCTCTGGGCACACTCGAGGGAAAAGGGAGTGTTGTGGGAACATGAGGAGAGGGGTGGACCCTGCCATCATCATTGAGGCCCTTCTTCATGTGCCTCTCCCACAAGAGGTCTAGAGGACAGCAAGAGGACAGCAAAATGAGAATGGGCCTTTTCTGTGGTGGCTCCCAGTTCATGGAATGCTCTCCTCAGGGATGCCTGGAGCCTTCATTCAACCAGGCCTTGGGCTGATTAACATTCTATGGCATTTTAAATGTGTCGCTGGAAGGTGGGGTCTCCACCACTGGTCCAATTCTCTTTCACACACAGCCTTTCCCCTGCACACTGTCACAAATGTGCCCTTCCTCCTCGTCCAACCTTGTACCCTACCTCCTACCCCATGTCCAACTGACGGAACTGGAAGCAACCAAGAAGCATGAGGGAGCACAAGCCCTGCTGGTTGTTCCCGTTACCAAATCAGCTGGGCAACTGGAAGGCGTAGGATGGAATCTTAGTTATGCCATCATGTGCCTCTGCTGTATGATTCCTTCATCCTTTCCCCCCACCCCCAGCTGTTTGGCAGGCCATGGGGAACAAGAATGCTAGTATGGGGTTATTTTGATAGTGGAGCCCTGGTTGGGCAATCTGTAGCAGGCTATAAGAAAGGCCTGAAAGAGCTGCCTGCTGCCCACAGGTGGTCCAGAGGCTCACAGGCATTAATGGCCAAAGTGTGGCAATGGAAGATATGGACAAAACAAACAAGAAATGTAGCAATTCTAGAGCAGCAACCTTAACAGTACAAATGCTCAGAAATAAGACCCACTCAATTCAGTGGTGCTTACTCCCTGATAAATGCTTATTGGATTATAGCTACATGTCACTTTATTTGTTGCATGAGAAGAACTGGTTTGGTTTTAAGAAGGTAATAAAGAACTGAGTTGGGGAGAAGACATTTCTGTTCTACAGCTCTCACCTGGACCCTTTGGAGATGTGCTACATGCTCCTCTATTTTAGCTTTCAGAGCACAAGGTACGCTTAAGATCTCTTGAGATTTGTCCATCAAGAATGACACCAGTTTAGCAGCCAGAAGTTCATCCAAGTCCACATCATCCTTGGAGCAAAGAATACAGCGAGAAAAGGACTGAACCATCTGAAACAAAGAAGACTGCTTATCACAACAGAACTTTCTTATTCATGGGTCTTCCCCATTCTTGCCATACCAAACACTCTCAAAGTGGCTTGCAACAGGGGAGCACTGGCTTCAGATTTTCAGGAGGTGCTTTGTGCTTGACTAGAACCCCCAAAATCCACCAACAGGACCCAGGTGCAAAAGATGTACACTTTGAATTAAACAGCAGGGTACCTCTGAGCAGCTGCTGAGCCCAGGGATTCGTTTCAACTTTCAGGACCAATCTCAGCTCACAGACCTTTGACGCACAACAACATTCCTGGCTACCTCCAAGTTTTCTTCATTTCAGCCGCCTAATCAGCATTAGGGGAGTCACTTTTTAAAAAAGCTATTTGAGACATTTTTGTCTACCTACTGTACATGAGCAAGAGATCTACCAGAGGATCCCCATCAAACACCTGCTGACCCCTGGGCTTCCTGGTCCCATCCACCCTCAAAGATGGCTGAGCACTTTGGTTCAGTGCTGGTGCCATTGAAGACCTGCTTCCAGAACTGTCAACAGCTGAACAAGACAGAAGCTGCCACTGGGGAGGGGGAGGGGAGAGGTTTCCTAGAGAAGGCAAGGTGAAAGCCAGGCTGCAACCTGAGAATGAGCGCCAACAAAACTGGAGGAGAGATTCCTCCCCCTGTCCTGCCCTTCCCTATCAGCTCCCACTCCCTGCAGCACACAGTATGTCTGATGCTGTGCAGCAGGAAATGCATGGGGAGAGAGACAGACAGAGGGCAGCGATGGGAACTGGGTGGGAGAACCCACAGCTGCTAACTCTTGTCAGCTCTATCAAACACACAGCGTCTGCTGCAGGTTGCAACCTGGCGATTCATGTTACACAGGCAGAGAAAGGGAGAACTTCCACGCCACACCCTCGGTTAAATACTTTGCTGCTTTCTTTTTTGTAACTAAGGAGAGTCTTTCCCCCAAAGCAATTCCAGGAAGATTTCGCAAGCCCAGCTCGGTCTCTCAGTTCCCAGAAGACGCTCACCAGCGTTCTCGTCCCGACTGTATCTGAGAGGGGTGGCAGATCTTTATTTGAGCCAATCCTGGCCAACAGAGTCATCAGCAGCTGCAGCTTTCGGCGGTTCGCTGGCGGAAGGAGGAGGCAGCAAACCCGCAGAGCTTCAATGGCCAGCTTCTCTTTCTGCAGGAGACCTGGGTTGGAGAACATGGAAGGAGAGCACACTTCAATGTCGGACGCTTCTCACAGCTTATTTTCCAAAGGGGGGGGAGGTCTAATTCTTGCAGGCAAGACATCTACTGGCACACTATTCAATGGTTAGCAGAAACCAGAATCGCCTTGTTAACCATAGTTTGCAAATCAGCTCAAGCTCTGGCTATTTGCAGTGAGAAACCTCATTAGCTTTAACCACAGTGAGTGCCAGGGCACAGAAGAAACAATAATCTATTGTTGAAAGGCCGGGAGGGAACTTTGTGATCCTGAAGAGAGGAGGAGGAAGGAGAATTTGAGTCCAAGGCCTTCTCTCAGTCCTATAACCATAAGAGACCAGCAGTATCTCTCAGGGCAACATGCAAGTCTCTCAGGGCAACATGCAAGTCAAGTCTAGGCTCCAACCAAGCCTTATCTGTCAGTTTTGCTAACAGGTTCTCTCTCTTAACTTTTCTCTCCCTCCTGATTGGCTGACACTTCACCCAGTCTCTTCTGGGTCTGCAGGAAGATGACCCAAGGTCTGTCCATCACAGAAGTTAAGTACATGTTCATCTCCCGCTTTCATTGCCCTCTGTTGCTGCCTTTCTCTGTGGTTTCCCTGCACCTCTTTTAGATTGTAGGCCCCTTCAGGGCAGGATCTAGACACACCTGTTTTTTGCATATAGATGCTACTATATCATAATTACCATGAAGAATTCTCAAGATACTAATGTACATAAATCTCACATCCCATTCCAAACATACCATTTAGCTTTACAGTCAAACTCTTATCCAACAGGTTTTAAGGGGTGTGTGAGAGAGAGAGCTATATAAAGGAGAAATTAATTTCAGCCAAAAATGAAATGTCAGCAAGCCAGCAGACTAACCATAAAAAGCATATATAGTACATATACCTCTAAAAAGTATATGTACAATTCACAAACATATCCTTCATAAATCTTTTTATTTCAACACAGAAATCTTCTAATTGATGGAGAATGCAAGCCAAACTCTGCCAACTGCATGTGAAATAATAATAATAATAATTTATTATTTCTACTCTGCTCTGGGGTTTCCCCAGCCACTCTGGGCAGCTTTCAACAGAACATTAAAACCAGAATAAAACTTCAAACATTAAAAACTTCCCTAAACAGGGCTGCCTTCAGATATCTTCTAAAAGTCGGATAGTTGATTATTCCCTTGACATCTGATGGGAGGGCGTTCCACTACTGAGAAGGCCCTCTGCCTGGTTCCCTGTAACCTCTCTCAAGTCAAACATAATGAAGTATCAAAGTCATATTAGCAGAGACAACATAAAATAAATTCTATAAAAAGCCTGAGTTTTCGCTCCTATGGCCCAGTGTGGCTCCCAGAGCCAGTGTGGTGTAGTAGTTAAGAGCAGTAGACTCATAATCTGGTGAACCGGGTTCGCATCTCCGCTCCTCCACATACAGCTGCTGGGTGACCTTGGGCCAGTCACACTTCTCTGAAGTCTCTCAGCCCCACTCACCTCACAGAGTGTTTGTTGTGGGGAAGGAAGGGAAAGGAGAATGTTAGCCGCTTTGAGACTCCTTAGGGTAGTGATAAAGCAGGATATCAAATCCAAACTCTTCTTCAGTGGTAAATGGTTTTGAGGTTCAATCCATAACCTTGCTGCCCTGCACTGATAGATTGCATATACCTAGCATATTCTAGGTACACGTAACCTTGAAATCCGCAGAACCGGCCTAATTAAGGTTGCAGGCTTCCACATTTGGCTCACAAGGTTGTTCTGGCCATGCTAAATGCCCTGGCCCTACAACTGAACAATATATGAACTCACTATGGTAGAGCATGAGTCTTGCTGGGGCTTGTATAGAGTTCTGTGCATGGGGCTAATCACTGGGGATTGCAAATCACTGTGCCTTTGATTTCAAACTGCATGAGCAGCACATGGTTGCCTGATGAACCATTTCCCCATCCCTGCTCTAGATTCTGCCTAGCCCACAGCCTGCGCAAGAAATGAAAACACGGTGCAAAAGTTTTAATCTCTTTTGACAATCTCCCAGAGAGAAGCTACGTGCATGGACTGCCGCCCTGTACCTGGCCAGGAGTGGTGGCCCCTTGCAAAGATAATTAGCAATAACTGCATATGTTCTAGAATAAAATGGTGTGCCGGAGCTTGGCTTCCTGCACAGGTGTTGGAGAAGGCGGCAAAATTGTTGTGCATTTGTGACACATCCAGTAGCTCAGGGTTCACTCCCAGGGCTGAGTGTGAACCGCCAAATAAATTTGCAGTTGCAGGCAAAGACAAATGGCAGCAGCTCTGAATCACTATGAAATGATTCAGTTCCCACATCACTGCAACCTTGAATTTCAAAACATCTCCTGAGATAGTAAACACGATCGTTCAAGACTGGTAAACTCTGACTTTAACAGTTATATCTTTCGGGAATTAGCATAACCATGTTTAGGGTGCAGTAGATTACTAGAGTTTCAAGAAAACCGCAGTAGCTGCAACCTTTCTGCTCTTCTCATCTGCACTGCCTCCCTGAAAAGAGGTTTCATCTCCAGGCTTGGGAGAAATCCCAGGTCCAAGTTCTTCCCTTCAATCCCTAGCCATGCCTCCAGCAGTGGAGTAACTTTACACCCACCTGAGACATGGGGCAACCAATCCCCCTCTGCACACAGACTGACACCCTTCACGTCCATATGATTTATTGTGTTTTATATTCTGCTAGAAAACGTCCAGAGTGGCTGGAAAAACCTAGTGGGGCACTGGCACTGGTGGGGCACTGGCAGTGTTCTTCCAGGGGCATCGCGATTGTGAAAGGGTCTCGTGGTAATTCACAAAGCCCTAAACAACTTGGGCCCAAAGCACCTCAAAGTTGCCTGATTGCTTATGGAATCTTCAAATTGCAGAATTGGAAGGTACCCCCCCAAGGGTCATCTAGTCCAACCCCAGCCATGCAGGAATCTCAGCTAAAGCATCCATGACAGGTGGCCACCCAACCTTTCAAGGAAGGAGAGTCGACCACCTTCCGATGAAGTTCATTCCACTGTAAAACAACTCTTATTGTCAGAAGTGTTCCTGATGTTTAGTCAGAATCTCCTTTCTTGTAACTTGAAGCCATTGGTTTAAGTCCTGCCCTCCAGAGAAGGAGAAAACAAGCTTGCTCCCTCTTCCACGTGACAGCCCTTAATATATTTGAAGATGGCTATCATATCTCCCCCTGGAAAAGACCCTGATGCTGGGAAAGATGGAGGGCACAAGGAGAAGGGGACAACAGAGGATGAGATGGTTGGACAGTGTTCTCGAAGCTGCTAACATGAGTTTGACCAAACTGCGGGAGGCAGTGGAAGACAGGAGTGCCTGGAGTGCTCTAGTCCATAGGGTCACGAAGAGTGGACACGACTAAACAACAACAACAACAATCATATCTCCTCTCAGTATCCTCTTTTCCAAGCTAAAAATACCCAGCTCCTACAACCATTCCTCATAAGGCTTGGCTTCCAGACCCTTGACCATCTTGGTTGCCCTCCTCTGCACGTGTTCCAGCTTGTCAACATCCTTCTTAAATTGTGGTGCCCAGAACTGGGCACGGTATTCCAGCTGTGGTCTGACCAAGGCAAAATAGAGTGGTACTATTACTTCCCTTGATCTGGACACTAGACTGCCATTGATGCAGCCAAGAATAGAATTAGCTTTTTTGGCTGCTGCATCACACTGTCGACAATGTTAAGCTTGTGGTCCACTAAGACCCCTAGATCCTTTTCACATGTACTGCTAATATGCCAGTAGTGTCCCACCTCAATTGCTGAGATCCTTCGACAGGCCGTTTTTGGTGCTCCCAAATGCCCCTGAGGTTCAGTCAGCCTTTATGAGGCACTGAGCTTTTAGTGTGACAGGTCCTCTCTCCTGTGGAGCTTTTCACGGACAGAAGAACAGTGGGAGGCATCCTTATTTTCCACCACACGTATTTCAAAGATGGCACTGTTCAGCTGGAATTCCAGACTGCCTTTGAAATTGACTTTTTTATTTTAAAAAATCAACTAGTTTTTGTTGACATGTGTGTTGCTGGTGCTTTTGATAGCTGGATTCCCTGAATTGGGACCCAGCTGGATCCCATGACCTGGGACCAGATGTCAGGACCCACAGTCAGCCCAGCCCAGCCCACATCTTTGCTCATGTTCTCTCACAGTTTGTTTATGTAGCACATATTTCTGATACCTGGGTGCCATAACTCAAGAGGTTATGGTATCATTGAAGTCTACACATCACATATGCAGCTGAACCCCGAGTCTGCATAAACACACTCCCAGTCACAAGTACAAGATGTTCCCACTGCTGCAACTACAAGGCCAGTTACGCCTGGGCTGGCCTGAATTCAGGATAAGGGTCAGGAAGCAATTATTCTGTAGTCAAGAAGAGAACTTAGGCATGCTTTACCCACACACATTCCTAGCTAATAGCAATAGTAAAAGTAATAGTAATAATATTTATTTTTTTTATTTATACCCCACCCATCTGGCTGGGTTTCCCCAGTGACGCAAGAACTCACACATTCATGTGCTTGCTACAATGGTGTAAATGCTTTGTGATCTCTACACTCAGTCTTTTTGAGATATTCTGCTGAGACTCACTGTTGCAGCTTTTAATTAACTCTTTTTACCCTTCCACCCACTGTCTCTTTAGTGGCTTGGTGGCGACAGCGTTCTGGACTTGGTAACACTTTTACCAATGTTACAGTGGCTTTGTGTTGTACACTGCCTTGCTATGTTTCCTATGTAAGCGTGGTTTATACATATTCAAATAAACAAGTGAATGAATTATTATTTTTTATTAATGAGGCTGTCGTTTTTGTTTTATTAGCTTTGGGCTTACCCTGAAAAGGGAGACCAGGATATAAGCCATAAACGAAATGAAAACTCTGACTTCTTATTGTGCCTGAGGAGACCAATTGCCTCAAGAACATGTTCCAGCCAGGCAAGAACGCTTGAAGAGGTCATGGAGCAGAGGCAATGAGGGGCATGACTTGGGGAAGGTGAGATGGGAGCTAGGGAGAGCCCCAAGGGCCAGGCATGGAGGTTTGCAGGGCTGCATTGCCCCTCAGGCCTGAGGTTCCCTACTCCTGTCTTATTCAGTTATTATGGGGGACGAAGCCCTCCTGGTCATGGCGCAGGCTATGGTACCATGGCTAGAAGCCACTAGAAAGTGGGCCTTTTTGACGGATCCATTTTCCCTCTGAGTTTAGGAGACCACCAATGATGTCCAGGTGTCTTTTAAAAACATACATTTGGGCTCCTAGGCCTTCTCTGGTACTTGGCCTCATTCTATTACAAGATTTTTTAATCCTCCCCTAGGTTTTTTAGTTGCATTTTCTTCCTGTATTTTAATATCTTGATGTGCATTTTAATATTGTTGCATAGCGCATCAAGACTTGCCACTGGAGGCGATACAGGCATGCTTTAAATAAACAAATAGTTTATACTGTTTTCATTTTGCTATTGCATTTGTTTTTGTACAAGGTTAGCTGCTCTGGGCTCCCTTTGGAGGCTGCAAATAAAAGGACGACGGTGAAATGCTCGACATTGAATTTTTGTACTGTTTTTTATTATCATTATTATTATTTGCTTGCTTGTTCACTACCAGATGTGTACATTTCTTGTTCTAGAACTTGCTAATGAACATTTGCTCCTCATTATTCGCTGGATTTATTGCTCCCCGAAAACTCACCTGTGCAATTTTAATTTGTATCCTGTTTGTGTTCCAAAGAGGAAATTTATTTATTTATTCAAAGTATTTATTTATTTATTCAAATTTTCATACCACCCATCATCTCCAAATTCCACAGTGGTTTATAATACTTAGAACACAACAAGGTAAAAACAGGTCGCGCCAGAGACACGGACAACTGCCACTCAAGCATTATGTCTGAATTTGACATGTGCAGCAGGCCCAGGGCTGCAAGTAACCCCACCCCCGGTCACTACCCAAAAACTTTCCTGCCTGCTCAGTGCCCCCAACCTTCCCACGTTGGGCACGGGAGGTCTGAAGGGGGCCTTTACCTACTTTTGCTGGAATATAAGTAGAAGCTTCCAAGCCTGTATTATCAAATAAACAGCAGCTTCTACTTTTCTTCAAGCAAACGACAGCCATAAAACTATTAACTTTAAACAGGAGGGCAATAAAGCATCCCCACTGACCAGGATTTGCCAACCAGGTGCCCTCCAGATGTTTTGGGCCACATCTGGAGAAGGTTGGAGAAGACATTGGCAGGTCATTCTGCGACTCAACAGTTCTCTCAGCCTGACTAACCAACAACCTCAGGGAAACCCCCAAGGCCTGGCTGAAGAGACACATCTTTACAAGTTAAAAAAAACAGGGGGGAAATAGTCAAAGTGTGACAGACCTCTAGAGGGAAAGAGTTCTTACCTAGCACATTGACGAAGAGATCAAAAAACTGGAAAGTGAGAAGAGGCTCCTTCATGTGGCCATAGTAATCCGCTATGGTTCTGAAGACATCTCTTTCAAATCCTGAGTATGTCGGTTGTTTCAGATCCGGACACCTGGGCCCTATTGTGATGGGCACAAAGGAGAGAGAAGAAATGAATGGCTTGTGCTGGCCGACAGAAATTATCAACAGTTACATTTCTACTCAGTATTGGTGTGTCCACAAGAGCAAAGAGGAAACAGACAAATTATTTGACAGGAGGGGGGAACTGTGTGACATTCATCAGATCAGAGTAGGCTAGAACTCTGCCTCTTCCTCAGAACACTTTTTCTGACCAATGAGTGACCAAGGATTTCTACCCTGCAAGCCAATCAGAAATGAAATGGTACAACCCTCCAACTCCATGCCAGAGCCCAGCTTTCCCCCAGACCAGTCTTACGCAACTAAAGAACTTCAATGCATCAATGGGCACTTAGTATTTCAAGCTTAACCCTTCATATAACCCTATATACACATTAAACTCTTATACGCTGTATACAGAACAAATCCTGCCCCGGTGAATTCTCCACAACAAATTGGGTTGGTAGAGATGCTGCTTTCTCAGTATTACTTTCCCCTCTAGATGGGAATGTGAGGAGGACCACATGGCATATACTCTGGCATAGTGGGCGGGTGGGGGATTTGGCCCAGGGGCTTCTAGTGGCTCACATCCCATGAAAGCATTGTACATGGAGGGAGATCTTCACAAAGATTGCTTCAGATGGAAAATCACACAGAAGTAGCTGCCCATATCAGTCAATTCTGGGTGATGGTTGATCATGTGATACATCATAGCAGGCCAATGCCCAGCATGAGGATTTAAGATGAGGACTACCACACAAGATACCCATAACTGATGAGCAGCCAATGTTTCCAAATAAGCAGCCAAGCATCCCAGAGCCATACGTGTGAAGAGGAAGAGGACGTGGTAGGGCTATAAAGCTGCTGAGCTGGGGCTTAGTCAATGATGAAGCAGAATCCTAACCTATTGTGCTCCCTGTGACTCCATGCAAGACAGTTTTCTTGTCGTCCTGAACGTCTTGATCCACTGGGCAGTTCCTAGGGCTCTCCAGTAATACAAAATTTGAAGTCAAGGTAGTAGGAATGGGATACTCTACTATGAACTAAGTTCCACCCATGTGAGCTTGGACTTCTGTCCTTACTGAGCAAACAGGGAAGGAACAACACTGTGCAGAGTGTGATGATGAATGAAGCCTTATTGACAGAGCGAGTTGGAGTTAACTCTCTATTAGCAAAAACAGGATCTGCCCAGGAGTGTCAGGACAAATGAGCACAGCAGCTCTTCTCCAGCAGGTCTTGCCCACATGAAGCAGTTGCTAAGAATGAAGGTTTCTGCCTTCCCACTGTTGCCTTAGCCTCCCCGGGGTCTTCCCAAGCAATCTGAGACTACGCCTGTCTCTGCTCCTCCCTCTTCATACGTCTTCTGGTCCTGGGATGCCGGGAGGGGAGCTTGTCACAGCAGGAGGGGGAGACACCAGTGATCCTTCACCAACCCGACTCATCTCTGCCTCTTGGCCTCCCTCCTCTCTGCTTCAGATTCCGCCTCTGATTCTCGACTTCTCTCTGCTACACTTTCCCTGCTCCCTAAGCCCTGTTGCCTTCAGCTTCCAACCCATCCTCTTCCCAGTCTTCTCCTTTTTCTCCCTCTGACCACTCATCGGTGTCCTACTACCAATCCACAGGCTGAGCCTTCTTCCCTTGGTGCTTCCCCAGCTGGTTCCTCCCACTATTCCTCTGCGTCCAACTAGCCTGTGACAAACAGACAGCCTCACACTGCGGATCGTAATGATGAATGAAGCCTTATTTGCCCTTGTCAAAGTGGTTTTCTTAAAACAGAAAAGGGGGAGGAGTTTCCCTATTCACACTGAAATCAAACTGATACTTACAACTTGCCAGACACTTCATTGCCGACAGCACCCAGTGAGGCAGCTCCTCTGCAGTGAATAGAGATGAGAATTTTCAAAAATCGTTAAATAGATCAACACTGACTTTTATGAAGCAGAGGAATGGATTTACAAGCTGCAGGAAAGCCTCATCCAGGAGCTCATCAACAGCCATAGAGTCATCCCAATCAACTCCAGGGTGGTAGCCTGGCAGAAGGCTTTCTCTATGGCAACCCAGGTTTTGGAACTTCCTCCCAACAGGGTACATCTGGAATCTTTGTTATACATCTTTCAACAAAGCCTGCAGACTCTTCTGTTTACCCTGGCTTTTGAAAACTGGGGTGTATATTTTCAGGACCCGCCTTATTTCTGTGATTGCAAGTTGTTTTAAAAGGTTTTCAACACTGTGCTTTAATTGATGTAACCCGCCCTGGGAACTTCGGGGAAAGGGCAGGTAAACAGTAGTGATGATGGCGATTAGGACAGCGATTTCCATCAGAGAAGTACACAATACAGTCTCCACCTCAGTCTTGAGCCATAAAAAAGAATGGCATGTATCTCTGAGGACAGACATAGTCACTCTTTGTCAGGGTTTCCCAAACTTGGGTCTCTGGCTGGTTTTGGACTACAACTCCCATGACCCCTAGCTAGCAGAACCCAGTGGTCAGGGATGATAGGAATTATAGTCCAAAAAAACTACTGGAGACCCAAGTTTGGAAAACCCTGCTCTATATCTTTGGACAGTTTGTATTGGCGGCAGCTGCTCATTTCCATCCCAAGAACCACTTCACATATGGCACAGGTGGAAACAACTATGTCCTACTTAGACCCATTGAACCCAAGTTAGTCATGTCCATTAACTTCAATTGGCCTACTTTGAGTAGGACTGCCATCTAACTCCAACCCAACACCATTGCAGAACAAGTGCTATTAGGACCCTCGTATGCCCCACGGATGGCGCGGGTGGCGCTGTGGGTAAAAGCCTCAGCGCCTAGGGCTTGCCGATCGAAAGGTCGGCGGTTTGAATCCCCGCAGCGGGGTGCGCTCCCGTTGCTCGGTCCCAGCGCCTGCCAACCTAGCAGTTCGAAAGCACCCTCGGGTGCAAGTAGATAAATAGGGACCGCTTACTGGCGGGAAGGTAAACGGCGTTTCCGTGTGCAGCTTTGTCACGCTGGCCACGTGACCCGGAAGTGTCTCCGGACAGCGCTGGCCCCCGGCCTCTTAAGCGAGATGGGCGCGCAACCCCAGAGTCTGTCAAGACTGACCCGTATGGGCAGGGGTACCTTTACCTTTACCTTTATGCCCCACGGAGGACCTTAAGGTCCATAAATAGCAACACCCTAGTGGTCCCGGGCCCTAAGGAAGTTAGATTAGCCTCAACCAGAGTCAGGGCTTTTTCAACACTGGCTCCGGCCTGGTGGAACGCTCTGTCTCATGAGACCAGGGCCCTGCAGGATCTGATTTCTTTCCAAAAGGGCCTGTAAGACAGAGTTGTTCCGCCTGGCCTTTGGCTTGGAGCCAATTTGATTCCCTCCCCCTCTTTCTTTCTTTTTTCTTTCTCCTCCTGTGATGAGGCTGCATTTTAATATTTTACTGTTTCACTATTTTACTGTTGTATTTTAATCTTGTTTTGAAGTTGCATTCATTCAGTTTGTTTTTATTGTAGCTTGTTGGCCGCCCTGAGCCCGGCCTTGGCTGGGGAGGGCAGGGTATAAATAAAAATTATTATTATTATTATTATTTGAACAGGATAGTCGCTTGTTGTACAATAAAGGTTTCCAATCGACCTCCATTTTTTTACATGCATAAGGACATGTGTGTTAATAACAATAATAATAAAATTTAAAAGTAAATAATAATACATTATAATAAAAACATTTGCAGTGGATTACGATCTGTTAAGCACCCCCCAATAATAGCAGCAAAATGCTTCAGCAGCACAGGATCACCTAGGTTAACTCATGTAGTCTAGCATCCTGTTCTCACAGTGGCCAACCAGATGTCTGTGGGAAACTCACAACAGGACCTGAGAACAAAAACCCTCTCCCCTCCTGGCGTCTTCAGCAACTGGCATTCAGAAGCATTGCTATCTCTGACCATGGAGGCAGATGAGTCATTGACAGCCTTAACCTCTGTGAAGTTGTCTAAATCCTCTTTTAAGGCCATCGAAGCTGCTGGGCACCACAGCTTCCCGCAGGAAGGAATTCCGCAACAATACGCTGCAGAATCACCATAGTGCAACAAAGACCTATGTGCACAAATGCGTCAAGTTTGGAAACAAGGAAGTATTTAATTTTGCGGAGCGACAGGGAGCCTTCTAAACAGATGTAACTGCAGAAAAACAAAACTCATGCTGCCTTCAGATTACACGCCCACAGATTATGTCCATACAAAGGATGTGTCATGGGGGGAAGCCAGCCTTAATAAGAAACAATTACGCCATGTTTGTTGGTTGTGTACTTAGCCTCAAACAGGTTGGCATCACATAAAAGGAAATTACTCAGCAAGGTGATGTTGAATCATAAAACTTTAACACTTCTGCTTATCTACTTAAAGGTAAAGGGACCCCTGACCGTTAGGTCCACTCGCGGACGACTCTGGGGTTGCAGCGCTCATCTCGCTTTATTGGCCGAGGGAGCCAGCGTACAGCTTCCGGGTCATGTGGCCAGCATGACTAAGCCACTTCTGGCGAACCAGAGCAGCACATGGAAACATCGTTTACCTTCCTGCCTAAGCGGTACCTATTTATCTACTTGAACTATGATGTGCTTTCGAACTGCTAGGTTGGCAGGAGCAGGGATTGAGCAATGGGAGCTCACCCCATCACGGGGATTTAACCACAGACCTTCTGATCAACAAGCCCTAGGCTCTGTGGTTTAGACCACAGCACCACCCACGTCCCACATATCTACTTAGATGATAATAAAGAACAGCCTGTCTTTTAATTATGGATTTGTTTACCTCCATAAAAATAGTGTACAATTACCACCTAATGCTCTTACTGGTTCAGAATGTCTTATGGAAAGGACATGAAGTTGTATTCGTGGATAACTTATCAGAAATCATTCAAAAATATACAATAGTCCAAACTTGAGAAGCCCTACAAACAACTAAATAAATGTAAATAACATGACACTCCCCAATATACTCTTTGATGGTATATAGTAATTTTCTTCTTCTGGGGAGAAATGTCTATCATTATGATTCAACTACAGAACGTTCCTCCCTTCTCCCCGCTGAATTACCATATTATCAAGCACAAATCCTAGAAAAGCTGTAACAAACTAAACAAATCACTCTACTTACTTGATTTATCTTCTAGGATGACAACCCCCTGCTTGTTAACATTATACACATTCTGAATTATATGCTTTGGATTCACAAGTTTAATGTCCAGCATGTCATTCAGAGAATCCAAGCCTAAAGTCTTTTGCAAGCTGCAGTAAGAGGGTGGGAGGTGGGGAAACAAACAGGTTGATCAGACTAGCATCACAGTTAGTTGTAGAAGCACCGCACATCACAATGAAGTACTTTTACTGGAATACCGTACTTTTTGCACCATAGGACGCACCGGACAATAGGACGCACCGGACAATAGGACGCACCTTGTTTTAGAGGGGGGAGAACAAGAAAAAAAATTCTCCCCCTCTCTGCCCAGCGCCCCTTCAGCGAAGCGGCAGGAGGCGCTGCGCAGAGAGGGGGAGAATTTTCACCCTCTTGTTTTCCCCCTCTAAAACAAGGTGCCGTTTAAGGTGCGTTCAGTCGCCTTCAGGCAGCTACCTTGGAAGCCTGGAGAGCGAGAGGGGTCGGTGCGCACCGACCCCTCTCGCTCTCCAGGCTTCAGGTTCCTTTCGACCTGCTCTTTGGGGCTGCCGGGGGGAAGCCCACCACCAGCCCCAAAGAGCAGGTTGGGGAGCAGCGGAAAGCTTCTATGGCTTCTTTAGCCCCACACGCGCTCTCCCAGCTGGAGAGGTGGCGCACGGCTAAAGGGGCTCCTGCCATAGCCGCGCTTCACCTCTCCAGCCGGGAGAGGGTCGCGGGGCTATGGCGTCTTCGCTCCATAGGACGCACACACATTTCCCCTTCATTTTTGAAGGGGGAAAGTGCGTCCTATAGAGCGAAAAATATGGTACAAAAAGTTCAGACAGGTGCAGTATTTTTTAATAGGCATCACAAGCCGCCTTGAAGCTCGCAATACCAATAGAAAAAGCAACATTCTGGTTTAAAACGAACGCTTAACAGCGCCCATATATTTTAAATACATGTGACTATAATGCTGAGGTTGCATGTCATAATGAAAAACCCGTTCTTACCCATCAAAGTGCATTTTATAAATGCCAACCTCCCCCCAGTTGGGAAAAACCAGTGAGAGTGTCCACACGCTAGTTTCCCCACCTGCTGTAGAGAACAAAACAACCCCAAAATAACTAAATTAACTAACCAAAATAACTAAAGGCATTTCAGCAATATTCTATAGTAAACAGTGGTACAACAGTTTCAGGTTAAGAACGGACCTCCAGAATGAATTAAGTATTTAACCCGAGGTACCACTGTACGTGGTTACACGTATACCACGTATACAGGGGCGCGGGTGGCGATGTGGGTAAAAGCCTCAGCACCTAGGACTTGCCGATCGCCAGGTCGGCGGTTCGAATCCCCGCAGCGGGGTGCGCTCCCGTTGCTCGGTCCCAGCGCCTGCCAACCTAGCAGTTCGAAAGCACCCCCGGGTGCAAGTAGATAAATAGGGACCGCTTACTGGCTAGCGGGAAGGTAAACGGAGTTTCCGTGTGCTGCGCTGGCTCGCCAGATGCAGCTTATCACGCTGGCCACGTGACCCAAAAGTGTCTTCAGATAGCGCTGGCCCCCGGCCTCTTAAGTGAGATGGGCGCACAACCCTGGAGTCGGACACGACTGGCCCGTACGGGCAGGGGTACCTTTACCTTTACCTTACCACTGTATTATTATTATTTTTAAAAAGCTGGGCATTGCAGTTCAGGGGCTTGAGTCAACAAGCCAGCTGAAAAAAGGCAAAAGAATTTCAGTTTATGGATTACTGAATTGCTGACTTTGTATTTTCTTAGTGGCAATTTGGAATATTTATTTATTTATGCATGCATGCAAAGCACAGCCTGTTGCTTTCTGCTACTTACTCTCAGCTCAGGTTGACAGAGAAAGGTTCATGCAATCTACTTACTGTGATAGAGTCATGGACCTCCATATATCTTCCAGATTTGATTCTGTTAGTTGTCGACGATGTATGAGTTTGCATGTTGGTACTTCTCCAATTGCAATACTGTGACGTTTGAACCACATTTCAGAATTCTACAAGAGACGAGAAAGATAACAAGTTTTAGTATTGTATATAATAATTATTTCCCTTAATAAGGACCCTAATCCTACACCGATCCGGAGATGTTAGTTGCAAATAATTGCCAATTCTCCAGTACATTTCTAAGCAACAGTGCAGAGAAGATAATGTGTCCTACATGCTAGTGCAGAATTGAGCGGCCAGGTTGCTCACCGGAGCAAGACGGTTTGAGCATATTACACCGATCCTGATCTGACTGCACTGGCTACCACCTGGTTTCTAGGCCCAATTCAAAGGTTATAGGTTTTGAGCTATAAAGCCTTAAACCTCAAGGAACACCTCTTCCCATATGAACCTACCTAGACCCTGAGATCATCTTCTGAGGCCCTCCTTCGTGTGCCTCCTCCTCGAGAGGTCCAGAGGGTGGCAACACGAGAACGGGCCTTCTCTGCAGTGGCTCCCCGTCTGTGGAATGCTCTCCCCAGGGAAGTTCGTCTGGTGCCTTCATTATACACCTTTAGGTGCTAGGCAAAAATGTTCCTTTTTAACCAAGCCTTTGGTTGATCTGATTGACATCCCATGCCCTTATAAAATGCAGCTCTCCTTTTTTGGAGGGGGGGGGGGTTGTCATTGGGTTGCTGTTTTTATTTTCATTATATACATTGTTGTTTTTCTGTTGATATTTCCTGTGAACCGCCCTGACCTCTGGGTATAGGGCAGTGTATAAATTCAATAAATAATAAATAGTAAGATTAACCATAAGCTCTTAATTGCTTTAGGGAAGGCAAAATCCATACCACACCACATGTCGTGAGTAGGACTCCTTTCCAGTCCCTACAACTATTGACTAATCATAGTCCATAGCAAATATGTTCTCTACCCAGAGGGAGGAAGGGAAAGTTGGTGATGGCAATACCAAAGCCACAGCCCAGCATTGTCTGGTCCACACCCAAGTGGAAGTCACCTCCAAAAGGTGTCAGGGACTAGACTGGGTGTAGCAACACTTCTCCACAGAGCCTGATTGGCTCCTCTGTTGCTCGCCCCTTGGGAGGAACCAAAGGATGCCTTCACAGATATGTCAGTGAACAGGAGCTTGTAGTTAGCATCTTCCGCATCAAAATGATATTCGTACAGATGGAAATCTTACCAACATGAGGGGCTTCCCTGGGATCTGTTCTCGGAAAGTATCCCTTTCAAAATCATTCCAGTTTGGGAATTTGACAACTTCCTTTCGGTACGGGGATCGTTTGGGATATGGTTTGAGTGGCGAGAAAGGAGGAAATCTAAAATGAAAAACAAAACATTAAAGCCACAACTGAGTCCAGCTTGTGAACACTGTGAGGGGCAGGGAGAGAGAGAGGACTTACATCTTCTGGTTGTAATCTAATTGTTTGAGGCACATGTGAAATGTTTACACACTGGCCTTCTTGACCTAGAAGCTGATTCTGGGATGAATCCAACGAAGTCATCAATGTGCAAAAGGAAAGGCTGGAACTCTTTCATATCACACACTGACTTTGTTGATGGAAACAGCAGAATAATATTCTATTGCTCCATCAACATGGACCCTTTCCAGAGCTGGGCTGGTTAATGAAAAAAGTAATGGGCCCCATCTGCACTATAGATTTAAAGCAGTATCATACCACTTTAAACAGTCCTGGTTTCCCCCAAATAATCCTGGGGACTGTAGTTTGCTAAGCATACTGAGAGCTCTTAGGAGAACCCTGTTCCCCACACAGAACTACAGTTTCCAGAATTTCCTGGGTAGAGGGTTGATTGTTAAACCACTCTGGGAATTGTAGCTCTGTAAACTGTGGGTAAAACCTCAGAGCCTAGGACTTGCCGATCGCATGGTCGGCGGTTCGAATCCCTATGGCGGGGTGCGCTCCTGTCGTTCGGTCCCAGCGCCTGCCAACCTAGCAGTTGGAAAGCACCCCCAGGTGCAAGTAGATAAATAGGGACCGCTTACCAGTGGGAAGGTAAACGGCATTCCGTGTGCTGCGCTGGCTTGCCAGATGCAGCTTGTCACGCTGGCCACGTGACCCGGAAGTGTCTGCGGACAGCGTTGGCTCCCGGCCTCTAGAGGGAGATGAGCGCACAACCCTAGAGTCTGGCAAGACTGGCCCGTACGGGCAGGGGTACCTTTACCTTTAAAAGCAATAAGCACCTCACAACATCAGCACCCTTAACAAACCACAGTTTGCAGGATTCTTTGGAGAAAGGCATGACTGTTCAAAATGGTATGATACTGCTTTAAATCTATAGTGTAGATGGAGCCAAGGGGAAATGCCCACATGAGGGAAGTGGATGGGTGAAAAGCCAGGAGCTAGTATGTTCTTCTAGGGAGCAGTTTCTCTCATTAAGTTGCTTATAGAATTGTACAGCAGCTCAAAAGTAGTACAGCTCATCAGCTGGATTGCTATCCTTTGACCCTAAATCAAGTCAAACCACAGACCCAGTTGATAACTTTTGCTCTCTTTTCTCTGCCTGTGAAAAAAAGAAAGGGCAACGGACCCAAGCCATTATTCTGAAAATAACAAAGCTTAGATTAAGGCTTTAGGCATCATTGATTGCTGTGTAAATAAGCTTCCCCTATGTGTTCCTATGCTATTTAATTCATTTATGAATCACTCGCCATAAAACATCCCAAAGCAATTTAACAATAAAGACAGCAAAAGTAAAAGCAACTAAACTCCCACCTGCAATAATTACTAGGTGCAGGGGGGAGGGGGAGAGAGAGAAACTGTTGGCAATTGTCCACCAGATGGTGCTCCAAATATATCCATTGTCCTGAAAGTTAAGAAGAACACGCTTTGGTAGATAAGATATAGACCTCCAAAGCCACAGCTTCAGTTTACTGCATTGATCTCTGGCAAGTTAATTCACTCTACAGGGACAGCCATACAAAATTCTTAATAAAAAAACTGGCAAAAGAATACCAAACTGCTGAACAATTAACACCAAGCACTGCTGAAATCTGAAAGTTCCTTTACATTTTTTTTAAGAAGGGAAAATAGTTGAGAACCATGCTTTGTCACTGCTCTATTCCATATCCTCCTTGAGTGGTTTTGCCAGTCTGGAATGTGATGCTGAACTATGATAATGCTTCTTGCTTGAGCCTTAATGGAAGGTGGAGAGAGAGGCGTGTGTGTGCAAAAGCCTCTGGATTTCTGCATGGCTGGAATGTAGCCAACTGTACAAAGGTTTGAGTCACATATTTTGTTCCACCCATTGTTACCTTTGCCCTGCCTTACATTATTCTATAAAAACATATATTTGTTTCATCTTCTGGTACAGAAGCAGGTAGAACAAATGCCAAGACAAACGGAACAGAAGGAAGGAAGGAAGGAAGGAAGGAAGGAAGGAAGGAAGGAAGGAAGGACAGTCCAATAAAAGAGAAAAATAATCCAGTGGAAACACAATTATTATTTATTAAATTCGTATATCTCCCTTCATACCGGTTCACAGAATAAAAAGATAAGATGATTACTCAGCATCATGTACACGATGGGAGAAAGCACCACAGGGATACAGTGGTACCTCGGTTTTCGAACGTAATCCGTTCCGGAAGACCGTTTGAGTTCCAAAACCGAAAACTCAGTATGGAAAACTCAATACAGAAGCTGTGTTTCCTGTTTGATATCAAAGGTATGTTCAAAAACCGAAGCATTGACTTTGGGGTTTACGGCGTTCGAGTTCAGAAATGTTCGTCAATGGAGGCGTTCGAAAACCGAGGTACCACTGTACAGGAAAAATACTGCAAAATATATTTTTGGCTCTATGGACAGTCACCATCCCAGACCATGGGTCTCCAAACGTTGCACCCTGCTCACTTTTAAATCTGGAACTGCCCAACACTGGCATATGGGCCCTGGAAGGCTGGCCACAATGAAATTCAGCCCACAGGTGGTAAAAGGTTTTCCCATTTTGTCTGAAACAGAATAGTTATAGCCTTAATTTTTCATGCTTGATAATACTACTGATAAATACTAACTGGACAAAGAGAGGTTTTGTGTAACTCCTTCCCTAAAAAAATAGCTTCTAGCTTTTTAAAAGTACTTTGATACACATTCTGGGAACTTGGGGCAGGGGGGGCACATGTTTAAGATGGGGGAGGAAGCAAAAAAGGAGAAACCGACTTCAACCTAGAGAGGGAAAAGGTTGGTTCAGAAGGGTCAGGGGACCAATCCAGGAAATCAGAAGGGAGTTACTTTGTTCTTCATGAAGATCCTGCTACACCACGGGTGTCAAACACAAGGCCCGCGGGCCGAATGCAGCCCGCCAGATCTCATCATGTGGCCCGTGTAGCCGCCGCCGGCCTTCACCTTTTATTCTCGCTTCTTCTTTTTTTTGACACAAGAAAGCCGCCTCTTCAGCGCATGCGCGGCAGCCTACAAGCCAGAGAACGTCTGCCCTCTAGCAGCGCTGGCCATTCTACACAGGAAACCTCCACTTTACATGCATTCAGGAAACCTCCACTTGTTTTTATATTGAGCGCATGCCATCCTGTGATGTGACAGATCCAACGGCTGCCTGAACCCTTCTCTCCTGTACTGTAAGTACATATGATGTATGTGGGGCGGGGGGTCTGCTTATAGTCCTACAGATACAACATAGTCCTACAGATACAACATAGCCCTACAGATACAACCCGCCCTTTGAGGGTGACCAAACTGCTGATGCGGCCCCCGATGAATTTGAGTTTGACACCCCTGTGCTACACCCTGCATAGGGCATGTGTTGGAAGGAGACCTGGATGTATTGAATGAACGTTCCGCTTTACAACACTTCTAACAGTACACTAAAGTTAGGGGGAAGGATAACGGCTCAGTTGTGCTTTGTATGCAGGAGGTCTCGGGTTCAACCCCTCTCACCTGCACTTAAAAGGTCAGGTAGCAAGAAAGGCCCATGGAGAGCTACAGGCAATGCAATGCAAATGAATTGCACTGGGCAATGCAAAGCTAAATGGGCTAATATGTGTGGTACTTACATAATGCCGTGAGCCTATTTCATCATGCTAATGCTCATGAACTTATTTCATCACGGCTGCAGCATAAACAAGCAGGGATCAGCCGCCATGGAATAAAATCCATTATTTTGCAACCTATTACGACATCATTTGTATAAATAAAATGACTGGTACACCCAAGGGAACACAACAGTATAATTATAAAATTACATTATGGCACTATCTGAAAAGATTAAAGTTCAGCATTGCAAAAATGCAAATACCCAATTGGTCTTAAAGGTAGACCAGTGAGCAGGGACACTTATTTATTTGTTTCAGTATTATAAATAGTTTCATATAAAACTGTGTATACTGTGTGTTTCGTATTGTAACATTCATATTGTAACACACAGTATTACAATAAAACCAAAGAAAAACGTAAATAAAAGAAGAATCCTGAAATAACATTGTTGGGTATATTCAATGGAGACAACCAAGGATTATTATAGAAACATTTACTTATTGGTTATTTATTAATGGCAGCAAGAATAATGATAGCTAAGAACTGCAAAGGAACAAAGAGTTTAAATGGACAAAATTGGTATAATGTAGTTTCGGACATAACACTTTATGAGAATCTGATTCAAAACTTTGTGTGGCGAGAGGGCAAGAAACCCAAGAGAAATTCATGGCAGGCTGGTGGCTGTGGATCCAGCACACAAGCAAAGACTCTGTAGGACAAAACTGCACCTGCCTCCTTCCATAATATATGGTTGTATTAACATTTTCCTTCATATTTATATGAGCAGCTTTCATTCTCTATCCATTTTAGTGTCTGTATGAACTTTATTGTTGTTGTTTACATCTGAACTCTTTTTTATTGTTCTTTAAATAAGGAAAACCCATCAGGTAAAGTTGGCTGGCAGAGAATCTCAGGCTTGAAAAGCCACGATACAGTTTTTACAAGACCCCTAAAAACAAGCAAGGTTGGCTCCTGCTGAACCTCTCTTGGCTCAGCCCTTTGTAAAGTCTCAATGAACCTCAGCAGCCTGTGACTCTTCTTCTTCTTCTTCTTCTTATTATTATTATTAATAATAATAATAATAATAATACCCCGCCCATCTGGCTGGGTTTTCCCAGCCACTTTGGGCAGCTCACCCCAAACCATTTAGGACTTTAAAGCTTAAAAACCAGTGCTTTCAAATGGAAATAAGCCAGTGCAACTATTACAGAACCAGTATGAGCTCTGACTGCCTAGCCCCAAACCTAGCGGTTGCATTCTATACCACCTTCGGTTTCTCAGGCTGCATTCACACAGCAGTTTATTCTGTTTCCCCAGCATTTCCCTAACTATTAATTTCTGTACTATATTTGAGTTTACACATAACATAAAGACCACTTCCGGAAAACTAATGTTATATAGTGCATGTTTAGCAATCATTCCCATGTTTTTTTGATTCCAGGAAAGAAATCTGTTTGCAATCTCCTTAACCTGGAAAATCGCAGGAGAAAAGTGACAAAATTTGGTGTGGTGTACGAGCATAAAGTACTTCCTAGCTGTTTACATGGGGGAATCAAGGATGGATTGAAGCACATGTGTGTGGAAAGTATCGACATTGTCCAATGACACAAATTCTTGAGCCACACCATGACTACTGGTGTGAATGTAATTTAGAATGACATAATAATAATAATAAATTTTATTTATACCCCGCCCTCCCCAGCCAAGACCGGGCTCAGGGCGGCTAACAACCAATAATAAAAACAAGTTGATTAAAATACAATTTAAAAAAACAAGATTAAAATGCAACATTAAAACATTAAGATGCAGCCTCTTTACAGGAGGAGAAAGGAAAAAGAGGAGGAGGGAATCAAACTGATTCTAAGCCAAAGGCCAGGCGGAAAGAAATCAGGTCCCGCAGGGCCCTGGTTCTCATGAGACAGAGCGTTCCACCAGGCCGGAGCCAGTGTTGAAAGAACCCTGGCTCTGATTGAGGCTAATCTAACTTCCTTAGGGCCCGGGACCACTAGGGTGTTGCTATTTATGGACCTTAAGGTCCTCCGTGGGGCATACCAGGAGAGGGGATCCTGTAGGTATATGCCAGTATATTGGATAAAAAGGCATAACACAATACTCCACATGCCCAAATGCACACTCAGTCATCTTCAATGGCAGCCCCACACAGACCATATTACAGTAGTCTAGTCTGGCTGTAACTAGTCCATGCATGACAAGGTACTAGATATACTACAGCTGCACGATTCTTAACCATTGTACAAGAGAACTTTGCTTTGTTGAGGAAAATGCAAGATGGCGGCACACAGGGATAAGCACGTGTGACTCTTAACGTGGCTCAAGTTGAAGGCATGCAAGAGTCATAAGGCAGGAACTCCAGCCTGCATTAATCTTCTTTGACTCCCTTATTAAAAAGTTTCAGAAATGCTAAGAAGATGCATCGCAAATGTCAAAACACAGGAAACATCTAAGTCAGGGGTGTCAAACTCAAATTCATCAGGGGCCGCATCAGCAGTTTGGTCACCCTCAAAGGGCCGGTTGTATCTGTAGGACTATGTGTCCACTCTTTATTATCATAAATTATTGTCACTGCATTCAATTATTACTGTTTTTTTGTAATAATGTAAGTAATAACTAGCTCTGAAAGCAGAAACATAGTCAGAATAACAAGCTAACATTGTTAAAAGCCTGTCTCTGCTCAGGGCACACCTGTTCACATACCTTCAGCATACACTGCTTTACAAATGCACCTTCTGAAAAGCACTTTGAAGCTCGCGCAATTTCTTCAGCCACAAGATAGCTGGCTTTCACTGCTGCATCATTTTTTGCTGTCATTTTTGCAAAAATATTCCGTTGAGAATGCAGGCTACCTTTTAATTCTTGGACCTTTTGTTGCTTTTCCTGGTGGCTAAGGTTAGCAAATTGGCTCCATGTTTGGTCTCAAAGTGCCGGCGTAAATTGTATTCCTTCATCACTGCCACTGCCTCATAGCAAATAAGACATACCGGCTTGTCTCCATTAATCACAAACATGTATTCACTTTCCCATCTCTCCTGAAATTACCTTCCCTCTGCATCAAATTTTCTTTTCTTGGACATTTTCGGGTTATTTGATTGTAGTTTATGGTCCCTATACCACTGTAAAGTGACACTGAAGTGGTTTCCTGAATGCATGTAAAGTGGAGGTTTCCTGTATAGAACGGCCGGTGCCGCTAGAGGGCAGGCGTTCTCTGGCTTGTAGGCTGCCGCGCATGCGCTGAAGAGGCGGCTTTCTTGTGTCAAAAAAAAAAAAGCGAGAATAAAAGGTGAAGGCTGGCGGCCGGCGGCGGCTACACGGGCCACATGACGAGGTCTGGCGGGCCGGATTCGGCCCGCGGGCCTTGTGTTTGACACCCGTGATCTAAGTCATATTAATGTCGGCCAATTATTTCCTTCATGCTAGAAAGTAATCATTGCCAAGGTACACAAACGTGTAATCTCCTGCCTACAGTAACCAAGGATATTATCACATTATTTTAAACTCCTAATTTATTGTAACTGGTGGGTCCAATAACTGTACAGGGTTATCTCGGGTTAAGTACTTAATTCATTCCGGAGGTCCGTTCTTAACCTGAAACTGTTCTTAACCTGAAGCACCACTTTAGCTAATGGGGCCTCCTGCTGCCGCCACGCCGCTGAAGCACAATTTCTGTTCTCATCCTGAAGCAAAATTCTTAACCTGAAGCACTATTTCTGGGTTAGCGGAGTCTGTAACCTGAAGCGTATGTAACCTGAGGTACCACTGTACTCTTAATCAATGGATCTCATCCAACACTAATAGGTCATACCAGTTTAATTAAAGACTCTTGGACAATCCATATTTGCTGTTTATACTGCACATTGCTTCCTTTTTATGAAAAAATAACCCTTGGGTGTAGTCAAACATTTGATTAAGGTTTTAAAAGCCTTTGCTACATGACCTGTTACCCATTTCCTTTTTATGAGGGCGTGTTTAATGCCTTAATGTTTGCAGTCTACAAATAGCAACCTTTGAGCTTTCAAATGTTATCTGAAGACCAACCCCAGTTACTGCCTTGAGCTAGTGGAAGTTTAAAAGCATTTCGGGGTAAGAATTCATCATGGGCTGCCACCAAGAATATATGCAGCCAGAAGCTGTACCCAGTATCAGTTCCATGAATCCCAATTTATTCACTGAGTGGGAAGATTGACAGAAAGCAGACAGCACAAACTGGAACCTTTCCCACCAGAAAGTACATATATAATAATGATACCTTTCTGCTATACTTCCATTTATCACCTAAAAACTACTTAAGAAATTAAAAAGGGGGGCTCTCTCTCATTCATACCATTCATACCATTCACACCTGAAGACTGAATTTTACCTTTTTTGAAAATGAACTTCTCTTGCTACACAGAAGCAACAATATGGTAGTCAGTTTTGTATTTAGAAATGTAATGGTAGCAGGGATGTTTTCATAATTTTTTTCAGAAATTGTGCATTCGGCATGGATACTTTTTTTGTATTGCTGCTTGAAAACATGTGTTTCCAAACTTGAAATATAGGTGTGAACAATGTGTACCAAAATAAAAAAAGAACAAGAGTTAAATTTGATAAAAGTTGCAAGAAGGTGCTGCAAAACCACAACGTGTGAACGTGATCCGTGCGGGATGCACATTCGCAACACGCAGCGTTCGCAACCTGTAGCAGTGCGTCTCCGCACGCACGGGTTGCGATTCGGCACTTCTGTGCATGCGCAAAGTGCGATTTGGTGGTTCTGTGCATGCATGACCTCCGAAACCTAGAAGTAACCCGTTCCAGAACTTCCGGGTTTCGGAGCGTCCGTAACCTGAAAAAACGCAACCTGAAGCGTCTGTAACCCGCGGTATGACTGTAGATTACAAAATCTCCTGCAGTTAAGTCTGTCTCCCTCTTTCATATTTCAACCCAAATAACCATAGTATCCAGTTATTTACCTATATAGGTGACCATTGTCCTCAAAATCCTCTTTGCCCCATCTTCCTTTGATATCTTCGATAACGTGGTTTCTCAGGAACTTTTTGAGGAGCTGAACTGTTTGGGTGCGGGTCACTTCTGGGCTGAAATTTTGATTGTGCTGCAGCAGTCTGTGTAGCCAGTCGACGGCCTCCGAAGCTGTGAAGCAGCGCTCATAGCTTTTGAAGCGACAGCGGTGCTTCCGTAAAGGCATCCCACCTCGGAAGAGCTCAATAGTCTCATTCCACTGGGAAGACAATAAAGTATACAAAAAGATTTACCCAAAGCCAAACTAGTGCTTGTTTGCTCAGACATAGGCAGTACTAGGGAAGGTCAAGGGAAGAAGGTAAAGAAAACTTACTTGGAAGTGGAGGGCTTCATAAATCAGGAAAAGTATTGCCCCCAGACCTGCAAGTTTTTCTCTACATACCAAAAAAGTCATTTCCTTGTACCCCAAAGCTAAGGGTTTTTTTGGGGGGGTTCCTTAAACTACAAGAAATTACCCCCAAAGGCAGTAACTAGCAATTATACTTCAGTGCAAAATACCCTGCAAGCTGACACAACTGAACAACCTCCAAAGACATTGTTAATTATCCAGACACTGGCAAGACAATGTAATCGTAGTATCTCCAAATCTGGGAGAATTGTGTACAGCTATTAACCAAATGAAAAACAACAAAGCCAGCGGACCTGATGGGATACCTGCCAAAGTCTTCAAAGTAGAGGGAACTGAACTTACACAACAACTTCACAAGCTCATCAAAAAAAATATGGGAGAGAGAGGAGAGCCCAGAAGACTTTAGGGATGCCAAAATTATCAATCTGTTTTAAAAAGGTGATAGAACGGATTCCGGAAACTATCAAGGCATCTTTTTATTAGTGGCAGCCGGCAATTTTTTTGCAAGGATCTTAGCAAACAGTTTTCTAACAATATCCGAGGCTACCCTTCCTGAATCCCAAAATGGTTTTCGACCTTCTCGGGGGACAATCAACATGATTTCACAGCTGCAAGAAAAATGTAGAGAACAAAACCAGCCCCTGTAAATGGTGTTTATTGACCTAAGGCCTTTGACACTGTAAATCGTAATGCCCTGTGCCCTTCTGAAAATTGGCTGCCCAGATAAATTTGTGAATATCCTTCAGCTCCTCCACGATAATATGACAGCAACAATCACAGATAATAATGGCTCTCAAAGTGAACCATTCACAGTGGGGTCAGGTGTTAAACAGGGTTGTGTTATCACCCCAACTCTATTTATTATTTTCATTGCCATGATCCTACACTTTTTCAAAAGGAAAAGCCCCACCAGAGTAAAAATAATATATCAAACAGATGAAAAGCTCTTTAATCTGAGTAGGCTGAAAGCAAAGATGAAAGGGAGAAACGAGCTAAGAGGAAGGCACGATTGGCAAACCCTCACCATGATCAACTCCCGCCTGGAAAACTATGTTCCCACTGTGGGAGGACATGTGGATCCAAAATTGGCCTCCACAGTCACTACGGACTTACTGTTAAGATCGTGTTCATGGAAGACAATCTTACTCGGCTACAAGTGATCACCAAAGAACAGAAGATAAGGGCGGGGGAGGATGGAAGGGAAACAAAATGAAATACACTGATATGTGTAAGTACGTGTATAGTGGACAGCAATGTTAGAAACTCATATATGTAATCTAGGTGGCAAATAGCTCCTTAAACCAGTATTACAGTCACCAAAACTGAATGACTAGTTGCCATTTTGGTGCCAGATGGCTCAAAAGTCCTATTTTTCAATACACCTTCAAGCAGAGCAATACATTTGGTACCAGCTTGGCTGCAGGAATTGCTGGAAGGAGGTGTACAAGGTGCCATCCAACCGACTTAGGTACTCCACGCTGAATTTGTGTAGGGTTGGTGGTGGTAGAGGCAGAAGATAAAACTCACCCGTGTAGACCACGGCCTGGTTCGCACAATGCACCAAGCCACTAAACACAAGCTGTAGCCAAGAGAAGACTTGGCTCAGCACAGCACAGCAGCAAAACGTACCAAAGAGGGGGAAAGTGGCTGTGTGCTTCTTTCCAGAAGTCTGCAAAATTGTGTCACCTCTTTAGTGCGTTGTGCCAACCACCTACTGCCTTGGTGGGAGGTATGGTTATGCAGAGAATGTAGCTCCATTGTGGTGGAGAACTTTTGCCCACAGGCCAGCTTTTGATTTCAAAATCCTGGCATGCAAAGAAGAGCCTCTTTTCCACAGAGGCTTCACTGGTCTGGCCCAGGGGAACAGCAGATAAACTGGAGAATTTTGGCACTTCCGCATGACCTGTTTATTGAGCATGCATCTTTATTTGTTTGCAGGGAGATTAAATGGTTGCATCAAAGCAAGTGTTATCCCAGAGTTTCCACGACATTTTCCCATTACCTGCTTTATCACAAAAATTGTGCAACCTGAATTTATCAGTATGTGATGACATCCCACTCGTAAATAGTGGCATCCTGGAACCAATCTCTGAATGAGGCAAGTAGGTTGGCTTAAAAAAGCTGCTTCTGCAAGTTTCTGGAATGCTCTCCTCAGGGAGATTCACATGGCACTTTCATTCTATGCCTTTAGGTGCCAGGTGAAAAGGTTCCTCTTCAAACAGGCCTTTGGCAGATTAACATTCTATGCCCTTTTAAATGTGTTGGGGGGCAGTATTGGTTTATTTTGTTCTTATTATGTATTTTGTGTTTTTATTTTATATTTTTATGCCGTGAGCTGCCCTGAGATCTTCAGATAAAGGGCAGTATGCAAATTTAATAAATAAGTAGAAGTCTGGGAGAACAGAAACTTCAGATGTGCAAAGACTGGAGGACTCATCGTTCAGTGCTTTGCTTGCAGGAGGTTCTGGATTTAACTTCTGGCTTCAAGGATCACCTAGTCATTGATAGGAAGGACCTTCTACCTGAGTCCCAGAAGAGCTACTAACAATCAAAAGCAGCACTGCTGGCCTAGAAGGTCTGACCTGGACTGACATAGAGCATCTTCCTATATTAATGCTGGAAAACAGGAAATGCTGCCAGCTGCCTCTGTGGTCCTTCTAGAACAGGGGTCAGCAAACTTTTTCAGCAGGGTGCCGGTCCGCTGTCCCTCAGACCTTGTGGGGGGCCAGACTATATTTTTTGGGGGAAATGAATGAATTCCTATGCCCCACAAATAACTCAAAGATGCATTTTAAGTAAAAGCACACATTCTACTCATGTGAAAACACAAGGAAGGCCCCACAAATAACCCAGAGATGTGGTTAGGCAAACTAAGGCACGGGGGCCGGATCCGGCCCAATCGCCTTCTAAATCCGGCCTGCGGGCAGTGTGTTTTTACATGAGTAGAATGTGCCTTTTATTTAAAATGCATCTCTGGGTTATTTGTGGGGCCTGCCTGGTGTTTTTACATGAGTAGAATGTGTGCTTTTATTTAAAATGCATCTCTGGGTTATTTGTGGGGCAAAGGAATTCGTTCATTTTCCCCCCAAAGTATAGTCTGGCCCCCCACAAGGTCTGAGGGACAGTGGACCGGCCCCCTGCTAAAAAAGTTTGCTGACCCCTGTTCTAGAAGGGCAACTCCTGAGTAAGTGGCACAGCGCGCTTGAATCCCCACGTTCATTGTGGGGACTGGTCGCCGAAGAACGGGATGGCTGGAGTTCTAGCTACCTGGTAGCCCCAAACTTCCAGTGATGCATTCGTGCGAGGCTTCGTCTGAGATAGGCTCAGCCCTGGAGGAGCGGCAATATTGAGATGAATGCGCCCCTGAGCATGTGCAAAGTGCGTTTCTCGCTCGCGGGAGCAAAGGGAAGCCGGAGCCCCGAGCAAAGAAGCGCGGCCTCCGCTGAGCCGCCGTTCACTTACCAGCCGGGTGGCGCGGTAGGGCCCAGGCCCCACCAGTCGAGGCTCCATCGGCCGCCACGACAGAAGAGTACTCATCGGCCCGTTTCCACGGCGACCGGCCGACACACCACGCAACCCCCGCGAGGGGAAAAGTTTGAATCAAAGACGCGCGAGTCCTGATTGGGCCGTGTTGAGGTCACGTGGCTACTCGGGACGCACCCGATTGGAGGGCGGCACTTTAAGGGGCGCGTCTTAACCCTTCAGTCTCATTCTCTTTTTTACACGCACACGTATATATTTAAATAACCTCTAGTTCTCTCGGCGTCCCCCACAACGCAAAGAGTTGATTGGCTGTGCTTCAAAAACGTCAGGGGCTCGTTTTGCATAACTGCGGGTGATGGCCAATGGGCTTTCTCTCTCTTACTACCGGTTAGCAACAGCGGGGGCGGGCTGGGAGGAGAAGCAGAACGTGCCCTGATTGAGAATTCTTGGAAACTCGGAAGGCGACCCTGCGCATGTTTTGCTGGAGCGGAGCCAGGGAGCGCCGCGCCGCTTCTGAATTCCAGGGTCTGCAGCTGCGGCGGGGGTGGCTCTCGCGCGCGCTTCTTTCCATTACACGTTATTGTGCCTCCGCCGCCCGCGCAGCCAAGGTCACTTATGCCGTTGTTCCATTCCTGAGGTGGGGCTGTTGTTTTTTGCACCCTGACTGACTAAACCCGATGCTCATGGGCCTGAGCGCAAACACCGCGGCCCCCTCCTCGCGATTCCCAGCAAATTGGTATTCGGAGCCATATGGTTCGGCCTCTCATCATGGGCATGAAATAGTCGCTGGAAGCCTCATTCTCTGCCAGGCCCTTTTTAAAACCACCGGAACTGGTGGTCGCCACTACAATTTGTGGACAGCGAATTCCGCGTGTCTGTAATGCATCTCCCGGGATTCAGACCCACCGGGTGGCCCCTCTTCTATCACCAAGAGGGCAAAAAGCCATTCATAATTTCACACAAAAGCCTTTCAAAACAAACCATTCGGGTTTCTTTTACGCATCTTCCTCTCATTCAACTGTGATCACTGTAGTTCCCATGTTGCAATCTCTTCCAGCTCCGTAGTATTTTTAGGTGCATGATTCGACTGGACTTAACCATCCAGGGGTCCTTTTACCTTAACCTTTATCTTTAGATAGCGGCAGTGGAGACACAGCTTTGCACCGCTACAATGTTTCTATAATTTGTCTCCTGCCTTACACAGAAACTAAACTACTTGGCTCATCTACTTAAGTACTGTTTATGTTTTCATATGTGTAACATATATGCTGGAGTGTGTTGCACCCCATGCAGATTACTTGAAAGAATCTAAATCTTTTAGAATCAAGGTTTAGACAATAACAAAGAACTGGTTATGAAACCAACCCAAAAGCCCTTTCATTGTGTTTCTAAATTTAGAAGATGTGTACAGTGAAATGGTTACTATCCTGCCCAAAGAAGGAAATATGTTGATTTCAATCTATGGAGAGGAAGGAATAATTTCCCTTATACGTATAAACTGAGCTATGTTGAAAGAGCGGAAAATGAATTGTATATTAAAACAGTTTGTTGAAGGATGGGTGATCTTTATTATATTTTGGAATGCGAAAGTTGGTGAGGATGTAATACAATATTCATTGTTTACTCCCCCCCCTTAAACCAAAACATGTATGTTTATATTATATGTGTGTGTATTATATGCCCCTTTTTCCTCTCTTTTTTTTTGTAAGAAACTCATTAATTTTTTTAAAAAATGATTGGCACTCTAGGATTTCATACAGGAGTCCTTCCCTTGACAGGATTCCTTCAATGGAGATGCCAGGGACAAAACCTAGGGAGGTCCTTTTTGCCTGTGAAGAATGTGTTCTAACTACTGCTAAGGAGACAGGGTTAGCCTTTCAAAAAGAGGTGGAGGTCAGAGCTCTCATAGGATCTATTTTTTTGCAACATGAAGCTCAACCTGCAGAAATGCATGTCTACAAAACAGAGGTAGCCAACCTGTGTGGTCTCCAGCTGTTGTTCATCATCCCTGACACTTGGGCTCGGAGGCTGGGACTGATTTTAGCAGCAGGTGTAGCACCACAGAATTGCCACTCCTGCCAAAGAGGAACTAACTTGATGTTTAACATTTTGGGACTTAAGAGTTTACACTAGCTCCAGATGTGCGGTACATAGTCCTTCATACACAGATATAAGCATTGTATCATTTTACAGCCCACTTCTAACATACATTCATGTGGAAGTTTCAGTAAACTTCAAATTATTTTCACTGCAAGTTAAGTAGTGGTCAGAATCCAAGGGAAGTTTCTTTCCATCTTCAGTTTTCCTTGAAACATGCAACCCATAGGTATTGATATTCTCAAGTACATATGATTCGGTTCAAATCAAGCTTAAGCTCAGGGTACAGGCAACAACCATTGTCCCTCAAACAAGAGGCTTGAGATTATCGTTGCAACCAGTTCAACCTTTCCAACAATACCTCCTTCATACCCTAAGGCACCTTAGAATTACAAAAGTCCATTTTTAAGACTAAATAGTCATAGTATTTCATATGGTACAGTTTTATAAAATACATTAATGTTTACAGTAGCTGTATTTGACAATGAGGTCTATAGTTGATAAACTGAATTCCATTTCATTGAGTAGCCTTTAGACCTTAGTAATTTACAACACCAGCCCAAAACAATTGTATCTTTGTCAGTGTTCAAAGTACTTTTGTATACTTATCAGGCACACTTCATTTCCATAATGAATATTCATATGCATCTCCAAGAGTGCAACGCAGTATTAACTTATTTCATACATTTTTTAAAAATATGTACATTGGTGCTGAAAAATTCAGGTCAGTGCCTCTTCTTAATCATTAGATTAACCCTCCCTCCCACATAAAGATTATATCCCAAATAATTTATAGTAAAAATACAAGGTTTTTTGTTTTGTTTTGGAAAACCACATATAAAACAAGTGTGTGCTGTACACCTATGCATCTTGATTGTCAAGTCAAAACATTCAATCATGTTTTGTGGCAGAATCTTTCATTCAGTTTTGTTTCTGGTAATGCCGTTTTGTAATGTCTTGGGGGGTCTTTTGCCTCTGGTGTAAGCATGGTACCAAAAGTGCATGAACAGAATTAAAAACAAAGTGCCATAGAGCCAGATGATGAACATAAAGATTGGATACTGGTATGGGCAATGATCCATAAAGTAGATTTGTCCTATATGGACGGTAACCATAATGAACTGGATCTAAAACAGAAAAAAACATAGTAAATCATTAGGTATTTGTTTTAATCACACAGTGGAGGTGGGGTTGGGGGAGTTGCAGCATACGAAGGAGGAAACTTTCTGTGTAAAGCATCAAACGTAAGTAAGGATAGTTATGCGGAACTAGTTCTACATCCTTGGCGATGGGGAGGCGAGGGTATTATGATGCTCAGCTCTCAAAGCAGGCTACTGGAACTACTTTACCTTACTTTGCTTTACTTACAGTTACCACCACCCCATAAATTGTGGAGAAGGGGCTAGGGTGCCTCTCTGAGGGCCTCTATTGGTGGAGAAGAGTCCTAATGGTTGAAAGGTTTTCACCATGACAGAGATCTCAGTTTTGGCTAGGCAAGTGGTGAGTTCCTGGCAGCCCCCAAATTGGATGTTTCTTTGAATCTGCTGCATCCAAAACCCCATTGTTAAAGAGTTTTTAATCTTCTCTGGGAGGTCAGGCTAAATGGTAGCAGTTCAGGAAACAGGGTGCACAGGCCATGCAATGAGTTCAGCTAGCTCACAGCTGTTTACAGCATTCATATGCATCTGTGGGTTAAACCACAGAGCCTAGGGCTTGCCGATCAGAAGGTTGGCAGTTCGAATCCCCGTGATGGAGTGAGCTCCCGTTGCTTGGTCCCTGCTCCTGCCAACCTAGCAGTTCGAAAGCACATCAAAGTGCAAGTAGATAAATAGGTACTGCTCTGGCGGGAAAGTAAATGGTGTTTCCGTGCACTGCTCTGGTTTGGCAGAAGTGGCTTAGTCATGCTGGCCACATGAACTGGAAGCTGTACGCCGGCTCCCTCGGCCAATAAAGCGAGATGAGCGCTGCAATCCCAGAGTCATCCACAACTGGAGCTAATGGTCAGGGGTCCCTTTACCTAAAGTCAACCTACCCCTAACAGATAATCTAGCTTTCCCCTATGTGTTCTGAAAGTTACTCACCAGTTGTATAGTCGTCAGATGCTTCTTCCACCACAAGTATTTGTGGTAAGCTGGTCCCAAGCAACAGAGTCCATAGTAGGTGTACATGATCACATGCACAACACAGTTCAACATACCATGGAATGTTCCCAAGCCACCTGTGAGTAGAACAAAATCCAGTCTTGAAACAATCTACTACCAATCCAAAGTACATCATCTGGGACAAATCAGATATATGAGGCAAAGAAAAGCAAAACTTGAGGCTGTCTCTGGTAACCTTGCGATCGCTTTGTATGCAACCATAATGGCGTGGCTGTCTTTAACAGAAATAATTCTGTGAGGCAGAAGCTTCATGCAGTGGCTGTAAATGTATCTATGGGTTGCATCATATATGCCAACTCTGTTGTTACAGAGCCTCTATACCCGCTCTACATCTTCCTGGGGTGGAGAGACTATAGAGAAGCAACAGCTCTTATTAAAAGCCTTCTGCACACATTAAAGCAGGCATTGGAGCCCTCTAGCACTTCAGTAGAAACAGCAATATCCTTGTACCTAATCAAAACCTATGTATGGAAAGTCCACAGACTTCCATGCTTTATACTCGGTATATATTTTCCTGACATTAATATCTCGTCTTTCCTCCCAGGAGCTCAGGGCAGCACACATGCCACCCACTCTGTCCTCAAAATAACCTTGAGAGGTAAGGTGCTGTGATGCCCTCCAAGAGCTGCTGGACTTCCAACTCCTGTCATCCCTATCAATCATCCTTGTTGGTTGGGGCTAATGGGAGTAAGGGAGTTCAGCAACCTTAGGAGGGAACCAAATTAGCTGCTCCTGGGCTAGGTTGAGAGCTGGCAAGTGGTCGACTGTCTCAGAAGATGGTTTAAGAGTGTACCTTCGGAGCTGAAGGCAGTTTAGTGACAATTTAAACTCTAGTATCCCCAATCCAGGTTCAACACTGCAATCAATATCTTCACATGCAATAACATAATCAATCAATCTGGGTGTGCCTCCTGCCCTGCAATACTGAGACACAGGGTGGTGGCCTAATTTGGGAATTCTGTCCTCAGCCTATGGACGGTATTTAAATTGCAACTAATCTGCACCTGTTCAGGCAAAATAAATGCTGAGCTTGATTTTGCAGGTCCTCACTTGTTTTAGTTATGTTACTCTGAAATTACTGTCTTCAGATAAGAACTTCAACCAGTTTTGGAAATCTTGACATGCACACTTGGAATAGGTCCAAGCTCCTTTGAATTCGTTTCCAACTATTCTTGTGCCATATTTTTAAGATTTCCCTAACTCACTCTCCCATACCCTCATCTTTATATTCAAACTCACATTCTCACTGCTTGCTGCCCCTGTTTAGGCTGCCTCACAACCATGAACTTCGAGGTGTTCAGCACTTCTCATTTCTGGAAATGCATGCGGGTTCAAGACTGGTGCATCAGTTAAAAGTGGAGAAAAGTAAGTTGATGCAGACAAAAAGTTGAAAGAAAGCATTAGCTGCCTGGTCAGGCAATCACAGCAGAGCTATGAACAAGTTCTTTTCCAGCCCCTTTGTGGTACAAACAATCAATCCAGAAAGTGTATCATTAACCAGAGTTTCCCATTTCATTTTCAGCTTTGGAACAAGCCATACTATTAAACCAACTGGCTTAATATCCTGTCTCGTTCCAAAAGGTGGCAACCATAGATGTCCTGGTTTGGAGGAAGCACTTCTTGGTTTGATTGCTCTTCCCTTTGCAGCACAAGCAAATGGGCAGCTTGTATGAGCAAAAGGCATGTGGTGCTTAAAAATTCTATTATTATTAACAAATACTATTAATTAAATTACTATTTTCCCCCAGGGCGCCAAACATCGTAGTAAAATAATACAATTAAAATAAAAATATATCAAAAACATTTAAAAGCAATTAAGGACATCTAAAAGCAGTTAATCAAAATGAGAAATTATATATATATATATATATATATATATATATATATATATATATATTGTTTTGTGTACTTTTGATTATGAAATTTAAAAGGTTTAAATAAGGTTTTTTAAACAAACAAAAAACCAGGGGAAAGTAGCTGATCACTGCAACACAAGTGTTAGCTCAAGCAAGCATTTCCCCCATGGCTGAGTGAGGCTGAAGTCTTGCTCTAGAATAGATTCACAAGCAGTTTCCAGATTACAAAACTAGGTTACTGAGAACTGACACTTGGCCACTTTTAAATGGCAACAATATAATTCGGGGGTTTTCATCATGATGGGCAGGGTGGGCCACATTTGACACATAGGACTTGTGCAAAATACTGCATACTAAATTCTGTTAATAAAGGGCAGTTGGCTTTATGTATTTGGGATGGCAGCCTTGAAGATTCTCCTAATTTCTGAAGTGCCTAACCTTACCACAAGAAAGAGTCACATCCATCACACATAAGCTGCAATGACAGAAACCATCTCTCTCTGTGTGTGCTGTGGAATAATTAAAACTCGCATGCAGAAACCAGAAAAGCAATCTCTCCTAAGCCAAAAATGGAGACTCGCAACCTACTGATATGTAACAGTGCCTGAAGGATTTGCATTTTCATGAAGCCAGTTTAGCAGGAATATCCAAATTACTCAAGCAAGGAAGCCTGCCAAATAATCCCACACAGTACTTGAGAGGGGTGTGTGTGTGTGTGTGTGTGTGTGTGTGTGTGTGTGTAAGGGAATATTGTTAAACGTTTTACTGCTGGCTTATAGTGGCATTAACTCTTATGGGCAATTGCCTTCTTCAGGTGCATAGTAGAGCAATACATGCAAAGTGTATGAAAAGGATCTCTGGTTCTTTTATGTCGTTTCGCAAATGAGATCTAAACACACTGTGTTCTCTACTGGGGGGGGGATGCAGTTCTCCTCTTGGTAACTGCTTATTATCAAACACTTCTCACTTTATTCTAAAGCCCATCAAACCCAAGGAGCGAAATAAGACATGCACTCCACAGAAGACTCACTCCTTCAAAACCTCTTGCCATTGGGTACATCAATCTGGGCTGTGGCAGCACTCAACTAAGACTACAGTTAAAATTCAGGTGGATGCAAGTGGATGACTATTTCTGCTTTGTGCCACAAACTAGCAGTTATTGACCTTGTTCACATCGTGGTAAACCAGGTGTGACTTGTCTGTGGCCTTCTACATGTTGGACTTCAACTCCACTACCATTCCTGATCCTTGGCTATGCTGGCTGGGGCTGATGGGAGCTGGGGCCCAACAGCATTTGGAGGGCCACAGGTTAGCTACTCCTTCAGTAAATAATTGCTACCCATTTGGGATGCTTTCTCTCCCATGTACATGCAAGGAAGAGCAAATGATAATTCCTGACTTCTTATTATGCCTGAACCGGTCACAGTTCGTTCTTGACTTACTGATAGTCATCTTTTCCGGGGGGTGGGGCAGGGAGATCTCTAGTTCAGACATAACCCTTGGAGCTAGATTCCCCTATCTAGTTGAACTAGTGGGAGGCAGCGTGACAAGTTCTGCTAGCACAATGTGGCTTTTTTCCCTGCCCAAGTTGGTGGCAGAGGCATTTGAGAGAAGCCCAGAACAGCATGAAGAGGAAGGAGAGGTGGTATCATTCCATTAGACAAGCAGAAATGTTTGCAATGAGTTAACAATCTCCTTAGTGCTACTTCAAATTCTAACCTAAGCCAGGTTTGTTTCTCCTGAGTGCTAAGCATGGAGGCCAGATCAGCAGCTTCATGGTAAAACTATTAACTAGTTTACTGCAGTGTGTGAACTGGACCATTGTGATGTTTTGGATGATTCTACTGCCATTTTGGATGACTTCTATAACGAAGGCCAAAAGTTTTTAAAGCAAAAAATCCAAAGCACATTAACTAGGAGAGTTCACAATGCTGATTAACACAAGGGCATCTCACTCAAAAGTACTCAATTTCTGTCCACAGAAAAATCCATTAAAAAAGACCTCATGGCAAACACTTGGATTAACATAAATTAGTATTAGGCAGCATTAAGCTAATCATTTTTAAAAGCCAAAAAAAGGAGAGTAAATAGGATGGAATACATCACTACTCTTCCAAGGGATAATGGAGGGCATCATTTCATTTATCAAGATCTAATATAGCCTTCCAAAGAAGAGAGCACACATTTATGAAAACTAAACTTGTCTTGTTCTAAATATATCTGCTGTGATAATAACTTTATTTTTGCTGTTTCACTGTATATCTCCTTGAGTCAATTGTGTAGAAGGCAATGAATAAACTAATGACACTATATTATTAATAATATAATTACCATCATCATTACTACCACTGTTATTAACAGGCTTCTCCCAAGGCAACACTGCCTCAGGCTCCCCAGGTCAGATGAGATGTCCAGATTATTACCATCTACCACCCCACCCCTTCAAGAGACGCTATCTATGAAATTTGTCAAGTCCCAGCACGCAGTAATATGAATCTGAGAACAATAGTAATCTGGCAATAGAACACGGGTCAGAAATTGTCTTCTAATTTTTTAAAAATAAAATAGTCTTCTGAATGCCTGTAAAAGCACAATGCAACCTTTAGATGGGATTTTTTTTTTTTTACATGGTCTTTGCGTTAGGAAGTTAGGAAAACCTATAGTTTTCCCTATGCCCCACTGCTCTCCTTTCTGTACCTCCTTTTTTTGCCCAGGTGTGTCCAGTTTCAACAGGCACCCTTCAAAGGCAGAGAAGGCGAAGCAACATGCAAAAGAAAGGAGTTTGCATAATTCAAAGTAAATAACTTGTTGCATCTATGCTAATGCTCCCAAAAGATTTCATCTTGCTATGGATTTTGGGCCTGAGAACATTCAAGGGTTACATAATAGGGTGGGAAAAGAAACTAGAAATCAGATGGAACTACTGGTCAAACGCCACTATCAATAAACTGCTAAAGCTGCAAAGCTAAAATAGGGAGAAAAACAAAGTTCTTAATCCAACAGAGAGCTAGGCATTCCTATGCTAATTTAAGCCAATATGTTTAAGAGTACCTAATTCTGTGCTGGAACCAGTTAATGTGTTGAGACAAGTAAGAAACCTTAATAGGTTTAAATGATACACTTGCTTCAGAATCTTTGTATTGTTTGCCTTTTCCTCTGTGTCACTTTAAACAAAAAGCCTTGTGCGAGCTGTCTTTTGTTTAGCCACCCAGTTGCAGGAACCAGCCAGAGACAAAATTTGCAGAGTGACATGCCAACACCACCTACCTGGGAAAAGTTGATGTGTATACATGACTTTCTAAAGCAGGTGGGGTGCATGCACAGAATTTTAAGGAAAACCACATAGGTAAAGCAGCAGAAAGAAAGAAATTTCCACTTAGAAACATTGTATTATTTATAAAAGCAAGTTTCAATTTAGAGTCGGAACTACCTGGAGCAAATTTGACTCCAAACCACCAGGTCCAAGGCATGATTGTGTGATGGAATACATGGAGAAACGTAATTTGGGCATTCTTCTTTCGGAGCACAAAGAAGATCTGGAAGGATTTAAACAGGTATTATTACTGCAAGTCACACTTAACGTCAGCAGCATGCGCAATTCAGTCTGTGCGCTGAATAGCTCATCATGTTTTCATGGCATGTATAAAAATGCATTTATTCACACTGCCGTTCCATGACTATTAGTACTGACTACACATACTACTGCCCAAAATAGTTACTAGAGTAAATAAATAAATAATCTGTTGGCTTTTGTTTTACAGAAGATGCAGGTGGTTTTAGAGTCACTGGAGTACAGTATATAGAACACCAGCTTTTCCACACAGTCTGCTCACAATGCACCCTTGTGATTTGCCACTTGCACTGTGTGTCTCCCCACCACACACACACACACACACACACTGGTGCAGGGGCGGACAAAGGGTGGACAAAGGGCGTGCGGAGGGGGCGGGCTGCTTCGAGTGTCACTTCTGAGGGGGGTGACAAAATGATGGGCGGCACTCATGGGGAGTGACGCGGTGGCTTGGGTGCCTGCAGGCTCTGCACTGCCCCAAATGGTCCGCCTGCCGCCTCCCCCTCAGCTGAAGGGCAGCTGAGTGGGAGGAGGCAGGCGGACTCCTCGGAGGCCCCACAGAGTGCCCCAGCTTGCCCTACGTCACGGGTGGCTGGCCCGGCCCTGGGCGCAAGGCACATGTGCCGTCCCAGGTGCCCAATCGGCTTGCTCTGCCGCTGCACTGGTGTCCAGTATTTTAAAAAGACATACCAACTTTCACATGGTTTGTCTGGAAAGCAGTCTTGTGCTGCTGTTGTTTCTAGCCACAGCTCATCTGCTACTGGATTTTTTTTATTTTTTGGAGTGGAGAGTGTGGTGCAATACTGCAAGCTATGTATCAGCTCAATAAACACTACATAGATTTCTTAGAGACTAATCATAACACATTGAGAAGAACCCTATTGGATCAGGCTGAAGTACCCATCTACTCCTACAACTTGTTCTAACAGTAGTCAACCAGATGCCCCCGGGAAGCCCAGAAGTAGGATCTGAGTAGAACACTACCAATGATTCCCAGCCATTGGTACCTCGGTTCTCGAATGTAATCCATTCCGGAGGATTGTTCGAGTTCCGAAACATTTGAAAACTGAGGTGCAAAGGGCTGTCAGCAAATTCAGTTGAGAAAATTGAAAAAACATGCTGGGGAAGCCATTCGATTTCCGAGGCATGTTCAAAAACGGAAGCATTTACTTCCGAGTTTTTGGCATTCGGGTTCGGAAACATTTGTCAATGGAGACATTTGAGAACTGAGATACCACTGTATTGTGAGGTATAGTAAATAGAAAATGTAGCCATGGTGACTAGTAGTCACTGAGAGCCTTATTCTCCATGAACAAAGTCTTAGAAACTTGAAGGCTAAACATAGTTGACTAAACTACAGACATCATCACTATGAGAAGCAATTATTATGGAAGCCTTCCCACCCATACAAACTTCCCTGCTTCTCTCAATGAGGAAGAAAAAATAAAAGGTTCTCCAGGTGTCCTCACCACTCAAATAAATTACAGCACGTGGAAAGTTTACATCCACACAGTGGAGTTACCACAACCCCACCTCATGGCGAAGGAGAAATACAATATGCACAGAACAATCTGAAGTATACAAAGGTGCTCCTCATTCACTTGTTAGATTCTACGATCGTGCTTACCGTGTCTAGCAATTCAATGAATTTCGAGAAATAATACAAGTAGCAGGCACGAACCATCTGCAGAGAAGAAAAAGATGTGTTAAAAACTGAAAACATAATGGAGCTCAAATCTAACCTTAGTTGAACTTTATGAAGGTTTTTCAAGCTTTCAGTGATGAATTTATGTGCAACAGCTTCATGGTGCACCTCATCACCATTCACCAGGTGATACAATCCAAGGAAACACCAGAGATGGTATACAGTGGTACTTGGTTCTCATACTTAATCCGTCCGGGAGTCCAGTCCGTTCGACTCCTGAAACCATTCGAAAACCAAGGTGTGGCTTCCGATTGGCTGCAGGAGCTTCCTGCAGTCAAGGGGAAGTCGCGTCGGACGTTCAGCTTCTGAAAAACATTAGTAAACCGGAACACTTCCAAGTTTGCGGCATTTGGAAACTGATTTGTTCGGCAACTAAGCTGTTCGAGAACCAAGGTACGACTGTACACACAGAGAGTGGAGCTTCTGTATATTTCCTACACAGCAGCATGCAGTGCCCACAAACACCTTTTAAAAACTTCTGCAATGCAATGGGAAGGTGCTAGTTAAACTTCTCTCTCTCTCTCTCTCTCTCTCTCTCTCTCACACACACACACACACACACACACACACACACAGAGCGAATCTTTTCTGCATGTGTGTAAAAAGCTGCATTGGTGTCCATGCTTCTCATGGCTGCTCTTTTCATTACACATATATACACACATTCATTTGCAACTCTTCTGTTGTAGCCAATGCAGTCAAATGACAGCACACATTCCTGGAACTTTGTGAACCACAATAAAGTCATTACATGACTCACCCTTAGAGCCATAGGTGACCTGGAGTAATCAACTATGTCACAGCGATAGGTATAGCCTGTAGCCCAGCCAGACATAAGGAACTGTAGATGGAATAAGATAATGATTCATAACAATAACGGTAACAATAATTTATTTAGATATACAAAGTTCAGGGGTATTTTTTTCCAATTGCATGATCAATGTTTCATTTTTTTTGGACTGAACACAATCCATGTGTATGTTTTAGAAACAGTTAGCACTTCTAGAAGTCTCAACAAATGTTTCAGTTCTGTTAAAGGTAAAGGTACCCCTGCCCATACGGGCCAGTCTTGACAGACTCTAGGGTTGTGCGCCCATCTCACTCAAGAGGCCGGGGGCCAGCGCTGTCCGGAGACACTTCCGGGTCACGTGGCCAGCATGACATCGCTGCTCTGGTGAGCCAGAGCTGCACACGGAAACGCTGTTTACCTTCCCGCTAGTAAGCGGTCCCTATTTATCTACTTGCACCCGGGGGTGCTTTTGAACTGCTAGGTTGGCAGGCGCTGGGACCGAGCAACGGGAGCGCACCCCGCCGTAGGGATTCGAACCGCCAACCTTTCAATCGGCAAGCCCTAGGCGCTGAGGCTTTTACCCACAGCGCCACCCGCGTCCGTTCAGTTCTGTTAGCCAAAAACACATACATACATAGTGTTCAGTCAAAAAATTAATGAAACATTGATTATGCAATTGAAAAAAACACCACCATGAACTTTGTATATCTAAAGGGTTCAGAAGTAGGTTTTGTTTTTTGCTTTTGTTTTTTTTTACTTCTATCACAACAGGTGTAAAAAGCTACTTGCCCTGTCACTAGGGCAGCAAAGAGGTTATTCCGGGCAAAGTTAATAGTAACTGGAAGTGGATTTATTTCTTTTTCCAGTTGTTCCTGTTGTCCATTATTTTTACAGAGGTGCATTTGGCAGGGAAACTACTAAATATATTTTTAGGTATGCAAACATTTGGATACTTATTACCAAGGCTATATAATCAGGAGCATCTTACTGAAACGAAAGGTTGCAAAAATTATAATATGGAGATCACTATGAGCATTACAAAAGAAAGCAATTTCTGTGATACACGGATCAAGTGCCCTCACTAAGAAAAAATTGACAAGACAGCCCAGAAGTCAAAGACTGTTTCAAGTATCTACAAAGAAAAAAAATATAAAGTCACAAAAGCAGTTTCATAGCATAGCTCAGTGACAGAGAACATGTTTTGCATGTAACAGGTCTCCTCCGTACAGAGCCACCCAGAGAAGATGATTCTGAGCTAGATGGACCAGTGCTCTAACTCTGTATAAGACAGTTTCCTATGCTCAGTGAAGTCATGCTTCTTATTTCAACAGCCTGCACCTACAGGTATAGTTAGGTGACTTCCCAGTTAGGTTCCCAATTCACAGGCAAAATATACCTTGTGCTTCCCTGTCCACACATCCACTGCCTCATATATATAACCAGGCACAGAGGTGACATCACTATACAGGGATTGTACCCAACAGAAATAATAAGGAATGGGGCTTAATATTCCCCTCTCCCACCTGGCTCCTCATAAATATAGGGAAGCAAAGAAGAGAGATGCAGATATACCGCCTGGTTAACTTGTTCACTTGTCACTGTGGGGACTTGGGGTGTGTGAAGCCTGCAAAGCCTGCTCCAGGTCCTTCTACTCTGCCCAGTAGTATTCTGGAACAGTAACGGGAAACCTGTGGCCATCTGGATGTTGTGAAGACTCGCATCAACTCCAGCCAGCATGGCCAACGATCAGAGATGATGAGAGATGAAGTCCACCATTTAGGAGGGCCCACAGATTTGTCAACTTTGACTTTAAATATTAAAGAGCCACGTCATTTTTAGGATAATGTTGTTGCTGGGAGCATACTCGTGTACAGTTAACAAAGGGAGGAAGGAGGATTCTTACTCCCACAAACACACACTTTCCCCAGGAGTAGAGATAGAAGCCTAGTGTGGACTCATCCATTTGCTTCACATGTTGGCAGAAATATTTGCTGCATTTCCCAACTGCTAGGCTATGGTAGAGGGAAATACAATTTAGAAGGCAATCCCTAGGCTTCAAAAAGCTAAGAGGGACAATGAATTTTCCCTGGGAACAAAGGATCACATTGTGGCATTCAGATTTGATGAAAGTGCTTCTAAACTTTGGTGTTGCAATCTGGCCCACAGCAGAAACCCATTAACATTTTTTTGGGGGGGGGGACTTTGTGCACATCTAATCGTCATAATGAGTCTATTCTTAGGCAATACTTACCTCATAAGTCATATAAATTGAAAGAGCCACTACAATGAAGTTGTAAAAAACCATCAATTGCCTCAAATCAAAAGGTTTCCTGTTCTCCATGAACTTTGGTCCCAGGTTGGTGACAAAATAGATATATGCTCCAAGAATAAGTGTCTGTGGGAAAGGTGAGGCCATAAGCGGGTAGCCATCGACTCGTGGATCTGGAAGAGATTTAGTTTAAAAGGGACCAAGTCAGTCAGCTACCATGATTAATCAATCATCAAGTATATTATTAAGCAAAAATAGGCTGTTCATTCGAACAAACATTTTCACCTGTACAGGCACATTTGTTGTTTACCTCAGCTTCTCCCCACTTTACACAAAAAGCATACATTACGCAAGGAAACAAAAACCTGCATCCATAAGTTGCAACAATGAGAAACTTTTGACAATGGCATGACCGTGTTATTTTTTCCTTGAATACTACAAACAGAAGTCACGCGCTCTTGAAATGCATCATTAAATTTTGCTATTTTGGCTAGATTTGAGACCTAGTGCAGCCACTATTTTGGTGTTTGATGAGTTGCATCATTTACTTCAGCAGTAGCCAACCTCAGGCTTGCCTGATGTTAGTGGACTACCCAGCACAGCCAATGATCAGTTGAAATCCAGGATCATCTGAAGGATCTTTGATTTACTCATTCCCTGTATTTTTATCGCTGTCAAATTTCAAAACAGAATAAAGTATTAGCCTTCATTGACCCACTTGACTAGTCTAGCAAAATACTTACAAGATTTAAAAGGAAGTAACTTGGTCATGTATATATTCCACCAATTCCTCCCCAATGACTGGGACATCACCAAGAATGTCCAACACCCACCGCTATCATTAATGGCATATAATAGGGATGTCCAACCAGTCGATCACGATCTACCTGTTGATCGCTGGGTGTCCCTGGTCAATCACGGGACCCTGATCAATCGCGCCCCCCCCAAAAAAACCCTCAACAACTCTGATCAATCCTCCCCAAAAACAACTTTGATGAAGCTTCCCAAAAAAAAAGCTCTACAACTCTGGTCAATCCAATGGGGAGATCACTGCCAGTTTTTTTTTATAGTGGGAGTAGATAGCAGTCTCTTGGAAGTTGGACATGCCTGGTATATAATATACATTAGTATCCTCAATCTGCTAAGAATATTTCATTTTTTCCCTTTTATATTAATGCAATACTCTTAAAAACAGGTACTAAATTTATCCCCATTAGCAAATGGGATTCCTAAATAACCTCATTGCTACACTGCTCAGAAATAGCAGCTTTGGTCCCTCCCTATACCCAATAATATAGTCTTCTTTACACTGAGTTTATCCAGTAATCCAAGAAGTATTCTTGGTGGGCATCATAACACTTTCATAAAGGAGACTCGTTTGGAGACAAAACAACTTGGTATTCTGTGGAAGAATGTGAAAACACAGAGCGAGGGCACTCAGTGCCTTCTAGGTTTTAATATTTGTGAATGGCAGAAGTGCACAAGTGCACCATCTTCCTTTCCTCCTAGGCATTAACAGGAAACATTATGCACAAATTGTTCACATGCGATATTCATGTTTGACTGAAGCCAGAAGCAAAGCCAGAAGCAATTTTGGGAGCGTCAGTTAATGTCTTCCTAGGATGCTTATTAGTGTGGAGCTTATGAGTATTTGTACATCCTGCTGACATATTGTTGGGGTATTCTAAATGTGGCATTAGGCCCTGTGTGTGAACAAGCATGCATAATTTGGCCCCTCCAGATGCTGAGGGGAAGTGCTATGCCTTTCAGGACCTGTGTGTGGACTTCCTGGAATCACCTGGCTGGCCACTCTTGGAAACAGGATGCTAGACTAAATGGAGCTGCGATCCAGCTATGTTCTCAACAGCTGTACAGGCATCACCTTGATCATAAATTTTCCCGAATTTATGGTTATCTATCCCTTATTCCAAGACAACTAATGCTCTAAAACTGGAAACCAGTTATGTGCCATTTCATAGTTGCACAAGCATTACTTTGGCATTCTACTTCAGTGGAACTCTTAATAAACAACACCACAACAACTCTGATATTTTGAGAATCCTTTCCTTGTAGAACGCCTAAATTTAATTTATACACATTTCCATTCAAAAGAGCTGGGATCCCAATCCAGAGGTGTGTAGAAGGGATCTGACAATACTGAGAAAAGAAATGATTCCTTTTTCCTGATGTGACAACCAGCCAATGGATTTGCATGTGCTCTACATCAAAAAGTAAAATCCTGTGCCTAAAATCCTTGGCCTGTATGAATCCACAAATTCAGTAACATTGCATAGATTCTCCAGAAGTGCAATCACACCACCCAGTAAAGGGCTATCAATGGGTACAAGCCACAATGGCCATGTGCTCCCTCCGCTGTCAGAAGCAATGTCAGTTGCTGGGAATCACAAGTGGGGAGATGGCTATTTCACTCAGGTCTTGCTTGGGGGCTTCCCACAGACATCTGGCTGGTCACTGTGAACAGGATTCTGGACAAGATGGGCCTTTGGACAGTATTGCATTGTGCTTTTTCTGCACTCTCAAGCAATCACAGGATGCAAAGACCTGCTTATTCATTTTTCAGTTAAGTAATACACGTGTAAAATGGTATGCATGACCTTTCTGTACATTGAAAAGACTGATAAACATTGTGCAACATGTAACTCATAAAGTTAAATCCTGTTTCTCTGGAAGCAACTCATGGGTGAATCAACACCATGTAATCTCTCACTTGTTAAACATCTGGTGCAATCGATTACTCATTTTGTGTTCCATCTTCAATTATCCCAAATTAACACCCGACTTGTTCCTTCCCAAAGCTTCCAATATGCCCACGTATCCTGGAATAGCCAAGTGCACAAGGACCTACTGGCAAACAACTGTACATTTCAGTTTTACATAGATACTCTTAATAATACTATTTCAGCTGTTGTTAAATACCATAAAACAGAAAGTCACTACTGTGGAGCAAGACTTACCAGCATCTTTAATCCACTCATCATAAAGCGATGCAGCCTTCAGCGTCAGATTGTTTAGGGCCATCTCCACCGTGGTGAGAAGGATCTCTCCTGAGGTGCAATAAATTGGACATATTAAAATATGCAAAGAAAAAAGAGGGTGGAAGTCTTCACACAACTGTTAATGAAATTGTTGCAGGGAAGCAAGTTGATTGTAGTGTACACTAGGTAACAGTTTAAGGACATTTAACATCAACCTCATTTTCTATTTTATGCAATGCATACCCCAGTCACAATTTCATCTTTGCACACCAAAAAAAAAAACAAAAACCCCACACATACACACATGCCTGACTTGTAAAAATGGTTACCCAGAAGAAAGCCCTGCTGGATTTCATGGACATGGCTTTCCGAGTATTCAGGATCACTACTATGGTGAAGATCAATTTAATAATATCAGAGTGCCCTTATTCTCACCAGTGCAACTTAAAGACTCTACAATCAGATGCTATGGAAAAAAAGAGAAGCTTCTCTGTTGTTAAGCTCAGCTTTTTCTTTTCCATTTCCATCTGCTGAAGCCACAAAGTGGCAGGGCAGTCTTAAGCATTAAACCTATTATGTATGGATTTAGAGTGGGGGAAGTAGACAAATGCAAAGATAATAGTGAGACCAGACTGTACTGGGTGTCCCTAGATCTGCTGAATGTCAGTTCAACCCATGTAGATCACAGCTAACCACTAGCTCAAGAGTGGCTAATCCTTAATGAGCTCCCTGAGCAAATTTTCTGCTTCCCTCCCAAGATCCTACTGATTCTGCTGGTGGCAGAAAAACGGGGAGGAAAGTAGACAGTGATGGGGTGGGCAGAAGCCAGGAAACAAGTTGGAATGCAAATGGCCCCCTCCCTGGTCTTCAGATTGATCAATTTAAGGACAGAGAGGAGGTGATAATCTATCATCAACTGATCTGTACTGAAAAGCTGAGGGAAGGGCTGTGTATGTGTGCATGTGCATGCAAGCATGAGGTGTGGCCACACCCACTACTAGCATACACACTAAACAAAGGTTAGCAACTCCTGACATAGGACCAATTTATCCAGGTGGTTTAGCTGCTATCAGTGGCAGGAACGTGGCTTCCATTGACCTGGGTTGACCTGCCCTGCTGGTATGTTTTTCACACAGCTGCAAGCAGAAACACAAGCAGAACTCACTGCATTGATTCTTGGCCCCACTTTCCTCTAACCATGCCAAGAGGCCATGCAAATTGGTCCTCCAAGCTTGTTTTCCAAACTTCTTCCATGTCTAAACAAGGTCCAGATCAAAAATATGCAGGGAACCAATGGTAGAACTCCTCTAACAGGGTTGTAAGAATGCTCACAGTTCAATGACTACATCTCCCTGAAAATGGAAAGCCAACCTATCAGGGGAAGGTTAGAGTAGAAATCTTGTTTTCATGTTTTTTTTATGTTTGTCTCATTTTGGTGTTCATCTTAGATAGGGTGGAGTGGTTTTGTTGGGAAAGAACCCTTTTACAGTAGTACTACATTCTTGAATATGTTTTTAACATGCTTACATTATTTTTATTATTTTTACTTTGGTTGTAATTTGCTTTGGGACTTTTTGTAATAGGAAGTGAGAGATATATATTTAATAAACCTAACGTTGACCCTAACCGGGTAGTCATTTGCGAAGCAGGGTCAATTCCACCACCGCTGTATGCCCAGGTTGTCAACCGTAATGATAGCATGACACTGCACAGCAAAGTCTTTTTACTTTTCTTGTCCCCTTAATCTTACCGCCAGCTCTATAGAAGCAGCTTCCCAACCACAATGCCAAAAGGGCTTCAAACTCAGGACAAAGTCTTTGAGCTGCCAAGTTAACATCCTGAAACTTCAAGACAGTTCAGTATGATCAAATTCATTAATAAGTACAGTGGAACTGTGAATTTTACAATGAGCTCTTAAAACAAATCCATGATGTAAGAAAGGGTTGCTCAAGCCATTCAAAAGAAGCAAACTAAAATATTTCACAAACACCATCCCAATCACAGTTTCTTAATCATCAGTATCATAATTTTATCATTTATACCCCACCCATCCGGCTGGGTCAGCCCAGATAACATGATTAACAGCATTTACATATTGCTGCAGAGTATTCAAAATATTGGTTATGTGCTATGCAAGTCAATCAATGCCTTTTTTCCCTTAATCAATTTAGGTAAGAAGTGTTAGGCAAGCAAATTCCTTTGGGAATCAATAGGCGATAGCAGGGCGAGATCACTGTGGGTTTCTTCTCCCTTATAGGACTCCAGATCAGGGCTGTGATCTCATCAATACTGGCTTTCCCAGGGAGAAACTATTTTTTCCCGGGGCCTAATCCTACACGACAGATATAAACTTATCAGTTGGAATTCTGAAACATCCATTTGGGTCTACATAGCACTTACTGAGAGTGGCTCCCATTTAAAGATAAACATATTCCACCCCTACCACAAGTTTCTAAATTTGTAATCATTCTGCAGAATAGATACATACGCTAGTCTAACATCTTCTCAGCCTTTCTCAATTCAGACCGAATGAAGAGAGAGTGCTGCTACAAATCCCTGAATGAAACCTCCCAATGATATTATATGAATGTGGAATAGCATAGGAAACAGAATGGACCCTTAAGGGAACCCACAGAGTCAAGCAAATGTTTCCTAGGACTCAGCTACATTAGTTTTTTTTTTAAAAAAAAAAGCATTTTAAATGCGTTATAACACTGACACCAGATAGCGCTGTAGAGTTTGAACCTTTGGCAACGTGATTTCCCATTATGAGTTTTACAACATGTTTTCCTGAAATGTTTTTTTTGGGGGGGGGTTAATGTCTAGATCAAGCCCTAATACAACTTTCTGGTAGTGAGCCTGAAGGCAGAACTGTAATGAAACTAGATAGCCTGTTTCCTCCAGGCATACCAGCAGCTAGCTGGCCAAGACCCTCTCAATCACCTTGCCCAGGAAGGGAATATTAGAGACATGGTAACCGTTTTCTAAAACCTCCGGATGCAGTGACCTCTTCAAGAGAGGTTGCACCACCATCTCTTTCAAGGCAGTGCACAACTGTCTCTCATAGTGAGGCACTAAATAATCCTTAGACCCATACAGTCAGTCCCTGTTACTAGATTTTATCAGCCATGATGAGTGGGGATCAAAAGACCACACAGTCTGCCTCACCATCACAAGCATCCTGCCCACATCCTTTGGCTGCAACAGTCAAAAACTGATCCCACAAAGTGACAGTGCTTTAGGGACCTGCAACAGACCTGAACCAATCATGGCATTGAGTTCAGCGCAGATCTGAATGATTTTGCCCTCAAAGTGATTTACAGAGATGCCCCCCAGCAGGCTACTCAGTGGCCAGTTTTCTATTATGCAACCTTGTTCTGAACCAGCCAGTTTGCTACTCTCAGCAGCTGTGCTGAGCAATTCACCAAAGATGTGAAAGAGGCTGAGAGAGATATGATCTTTCGGCCGATGCCACCACCATGTAGTAATCAACTTGGCTCTCTACCTGGCCATTTTCATGGCAGGACTTACCTGTGGCATCTGACCTGCTTGGTTGCCTTGTGCTCTCAAAAAGCCAAGGAGCCTCTCAAACTCTCTGCAGCTGAATAAGGCACTTAGGGGCAATCTTATCAATAGCCCTCTCTGTCTCACTATTCCAAAGTGGACCTAGGGCATTAGCAGGAGAACCACATGGGAAATCCTTCCATCAATCTCTGGGGGTAGACGAGAGGGTCACAGGCAATGCAACCATCATCAGGGAGCGGTCCATCCATGACATCCACGATAACTCACCACCACCCCATTCACTGTATTATTTTTTTCCAGATCCTGCAGCTTGTGTCTGACACATATATGTATTGCAAAAGCCCCATGGTTATCATGGCAACCACAAAATCCTGGGCTGGTCTAGATAAGGCAGAAACAACATGGGCATTGAAGTCCCCAAGAATAGTGTCCTAAGATTCTGCAGCACCACACTAGAGGCTGCCACCACCAGGGTCATATCTAAGAGGTGGACAGTAAACCAACAAGCTCCCCATCAGGGGCTATACACCATCAACAGCTGGCTCCCTTTTTATCTGTCCCAACCCAACAGCCTAGCAGTCACTGGGAACTAGGATCAGATGTTCCAGTTGCTCACTCAGCCAGCCACTCCTCCACAGCAGCTTTCTCTCAAGCAGACCAAGCAGCAGTGATTGTTTCACAGGAAGAAGAGGTGTTTGGATTTGATATCCCGCTTTATCACTACCCAAAGGAGTCTCAAAGCTGCTAACATTCTCCTTTCCCTTCCTCCCCCACAACAAACACTCTGAGGTGAGTGGGGCTGAGAGACTTCAAAGAAGTGTGACTAGCCCAAGGTCACCCAGTAGCTGCATGTGGAGGAGCAGAGACGCAGACCTAGTTCACCAGATTACGAGTCTACCACACTTAACCACTACACCACACTGGGGTTTACTTGGCACTGCCTCTCCTCTGCTCCCACAAACCTCACAAGCCTGGTGAGGTACTTAGCTACTTAGAAGGCACCACACAGAAGGTGCTACTTAGAAGGTGCCACACAGCTGGCTTCTTTTTTAATCTCTCCTTATATTGTGTCCTTAAAACACTCAAAGTCAGCTAATGTGTGTATGCTGCCATTGCAAGGCAAAAAATAAAATAAAAATGGGTCCACAGGTCCCAAAAGGTTGGCTGGTGACGCCTGGGCCAAGAAAGACATAATGCAGGGTATCAAACCTCAGAATAATGGGGAAGAGGGGCTCCAATCTCAACCAAATCAGAAATGCTAGAGGAAGGTCATGTAACCCTTTCTCATTCACTATTTCCCACAGATGGTCCTGGGACAGGGTGGAGGAGAGAGAGACATAGGGACATCCTTAACTCTCATTTCACCCTCCATCAGGACCAGCACCACCTTGGATGGTGTATTTAGATTGAGAAGACATATAATCTGCGTTGAGCCCTATTCAAAGTGCTCCTTAACTTTAAAGCCATGAACAACTTTAGTCCCAATTATCTTAGTGTATACCTTCTCTCATATGAGTTCTGCAAAACTTAAGATCCATCCAATG